TTTATATTGTTCGGCTCGGCCGGTTAACGTTCGCGAACGAGCTTTAACCGAACCGAGTTCACGAACGGCTCCGTTCGTTTAACAACTTTAATATTTTTAAATTTAAATAATAGTTGAAATTGTTACTAATAATAATAGTAATAATAATAATATTTAATTATAAATCTATATAATTTAATTTAATTCCCATCCTATGGGCAATGGAGGCTGTAAAGAGACGTGAAGGGGGGCTCGGATTGTATGGAGACTTATCATAAGTCAATTATAATAAATAATTTATTTTTTTTTCTTCCCAACTACAACCACCCATAATAATTATTAGAAAATCATTAAAACTTTATATAATAGTTATATATTTTTTAAATTAAAATTATTTTCAATTATATAAATCAAGAAAATTATTTGACGAACAACACACAATTTTGTCCCACTTAAAGATCAATGATAATAGAGAACACTACATAGGTTTACTAAATACTTATCAACATTTTTTATTTAAATATTACGTGAAATTTATCCGTATTCTGACCCTAAAATTGTACTAAAAAATAAAAATAAAAATAAAAACATAATACAAGAGTTTAATTTAATATTTTTAAAGAATTTTTTTTATATATATAAATGATAAAAATTTGTGTAAAAACCAAACTACAAACTACCATAGTCTAGATTGTTTCAAAATTTCTTGCAGTAGAATAAAAATATGTAATAATAATAATAATAATAATAATAATAATAATAATAATACAAGTAAATTAATTAATTAATTAACCAAAGAAGATAAATAATTTGGTTGACGTAGTGTAAATTTGTTTGATTGTTGCTTGAAATTGATTTGAAATAAGATGATTGATTTAAATTTATAATTTAATTATATTTTGAATTAAAAATTGTGCCGAATAAATAATATTAATTTTAATTTAAAATAATCGAGCCGACATTAATATACTAAGTTGCGAGGTTCTTTTGACTACATCCACACCTCTAATTATTGCTACGCCCTTTCATTAAATGAGCATAAATTAAATGAAAAATCGATTAAAGTACGAGTAATATTTATTCATATAGACAAATTTTATTTTATTTTATTTAAAAAAATTGACGCTATTTATTCACAATATATATATTTTTATAAAAAAAAATCATATCAAATAATTAGTTTTATTCATAAAATAGCATATTAAATATTTAATATTTTTTTTTACTATTTTTAAAAAATTTCGAAATCTAATACTCTTTTCGTATCTTAACAAAGTATTAATTTATTTTTTTGCGTAATTGTACTTAATATTAAAAATATCTTTACATTCGAATAATATTTTGTACAAATATCATTACATTTATATCATAAAATATTAATAGAAGTATATTATTTTTTTCTCTTAATTTGTACAAATACATTAGAAGACCTGACACAAACTCAACCCGCTCAAATTCGACTCATGCAGGTATATTGAGAGGTTTGTTTATTTATATTTTTCCTACATATTTTTTTAAGAGAAAATTGCAAAAAATATTCTTTATGGATACTTAATTATCACTCTTATCATTTATTTATCTTACTGACAAAATATATTTTATATATTTTTAAAAGTCGTCATTTTTGTCGTTTAGCCGCGCGTGAGTCAACCATTGTGTGAGCATACGTATGACCAAATGATATTTATGTTAATGATATAATCTTTATCAACTCTCGACAAACTACTTTCACTAAATTTAAATTGCATACGAAGAAGAAGTTCGAAATGACGGATTTGGATTTGTTATGTTCCTTTCTTTACCTTGAAGATTGTCATTTTAATGGTTGAATTTTTATCTTATAGAGAAAGTATATCAAGAAACTTCTCATCATGTTATGAATGTTTATTTGCAAGTCAACGCATCGATGAATTTGAATAAGAAATTGTAATGTCGTGAAAATCAGGAAAACAAGAAAAATATACAAGAATATAAAATTTTGATTTATATTTTCCAGTTCGATCAAAATAATTTACGTTTAGGCGTATTATGTGTTTGTTTTTAAAATGAGTAAGTTCAACATATTTATTTGGTAGCATTGGTTCATATGTTTCAACTTTTTCTTCAACTGAAATCCATTAATTTAAAATTTATTAGCAAATTCAAAGCTATCAAAGCAAACTGGGCATTAACAAAGCTATTAGATAAATAATACTTCATCCGTCCCAATACAGTAAACTTATTTACTATTTTTGTCCGTCTCAAAACAATAGTCTTATATCCATAAATAACTATATCATCATAAAATTACTCATATTTTTTCATTTTCATTGCACAATTCTCTTACTTTTTACACTAATACACTCACAAGGGTAAAAAAGTCTTTTATCCATACTTTTTACCAACTACCAATATAATATGAATATTTCTTAAATCTCGTGACCAACTCAATTAAGACTATATTTCTGGGATGGAGCGAGTATTTTAGAAGAAGCTAGTAAAGAAATGAAGAATGTGAAAGGAATAAAGCAAATACCAAAAAAAAAATATATATATAATATAATATAATTTTTTTTTTTTTTTATAAAATATTATACTCCCTTGGTCCCAAAAGATTTGTCTTGTTCTTTTATTTTCGTCCGTCCCAAAACAATTGTCTTGTTTCCTTATTTAGTAGTCGTGGTTCCCACTTTATAACAAAATTATTCATACTTTTCTATACTACCCCTAATTATCACTCTAACACATTCTTTAAAATCCTTCAAAAAAGCAAGGGCATTTTAGTCATTTATATTCTACTTTATATTCACTCTCAATTAAATACTATTATTCTTTAATTTCTATGCCAACTCTCAATAAGACACTTCTTTTAGGATCGAGGGAGTATCATAGTATACCTATAACCAAAATAAACCAAATACAACTCAACTCAAACGTGTTGCTTTAAACAATTTGAAATCATCAAACTTGTGAAATGGTTAACCATTATATATATATATATACATATATAACTTGTAGGTTGATAAAGCGATTATTTTTTTCTATTGTTGTTGTTTTATATATTGGAAAAAAAATAATATAATTTATATGTATAGTAATTTGATTTTGACTTTATGTATTTAGAAGGGTTTTTTTTTTAAAAAAAAAACTATTTAATTAATGATTTCTTATAAAATATTATATTTAATAGTAATTTTCTTTTATTATATGTAATTAATGATTTCTTATAAAATATTATATCATACACAAAAGGTAAACAATTCATTATATGTTTTCTTTTATTTTTAATATGTGAACTATATTAAATTGTTTATTTAGTTAGATTTTAACTTTAGATGTTTTTTTTTTTTTACTCTATGAAATTTTTACGATTTCTTATAAAAACAAGATATTTCATCCCATAAAATGCATTGCATTTAAACTATTGCAAGAAATCGATCATTCCGATGATTTGCACTAGCTTAGCTCAAGTCGTTCAAATAGTTGGATTTTTAATCTTTATTTATTTATTTATTTTTTATAACTAGTTTATTTTTTATTTTATTTTTTTGATGACACGGAAACCCGAAGTCGCTACCCGAAAGTGCATTGAGTAACTGTTATTTTTTGTCTACACGTTCTTCTAGTAGTTTAGAGTCTCTTTCACCATTAGGCCAACGTGCCCTTGATGGTCTTTTTGTACACGACTTTTCGAATTCGCATTTGATAATTACAAATTCGAGATTCCGTCGAACTAAAATAACAACATTTAAACTACTACTCAAAACTAAATCTCAAGTAAAAAATAATCCCCTCTAAATTTTTATGATTGAAAATACATGTTTTTTTAAATTCATGGATGAATAAATTCTTATTATTATTAGACAAATTAGATTAATAAATTGTATGGATGTATTAAAAAGGAAAAGGGGAAATTAATTGAAGTGACCTTATAATAATTCCTTTGGTTTATAAAGAAATAATGACTATTGAGAAAAATAAAAAATAAAAAAAAGTTGGTAGATTTTAATTTTGTAGGGTTCATCTCAGTTCCCCACCGAAAAGGGCAATCAATTTTATTTACTTTCCTCCGTCTCAATACAATAGTTATATTTATCATTTTTTTTATCTCAAAATAATAGTCTTATTTTCATAAATAATCATATCACCATAAAACTATCTCTACTTTTTTATTTTTATTACACAATTGTCGCTACTTTTTACCCTAATACACTCACAAGGGCAAAAAAGTTTTTTACCTGTACTTTTTATCCACTACCAATATAATATAATATTACTTAAATTCCGTGTCGAACCTAACTCATACTATAGTTCTAGAACAAACTTATTTATTTTCATTATTTTTTTTAATCCGTCCGCTAAATTATCACATTACGAATTTTTTACCTGTACTTTTTATCCACTACCAATATAATATAATATTACTTAAATTCCGTGTCAAACCTAACTCATACTATAGTTCTAGAACAAACTTATTTATTTTCATTATTTTTTTTAATCCGTCCGCTAAATTATCACATTACGAATCAAAATATAATTATTATCCTTAATTCCATATTTATTTAGAACAAATATCATTAACTTTATTACATTTTCTTTCTTCGTTTACTTTAATTTATAACTAAATTTAAAAAAAAAATACCTTCAAGTATCTATATTTTTTTAATAAAATATTTATTTTTCTATGGAATCCTAATGAACTATTTTGAGTGACTAGATGAAGTAATACTTGTGGAGGTGAAAATTAATTATTAAAAATAAAATATTCATTAGAGTCACATGATCCCACCCCCAAATTGTTAAATTAAAATCTAAGAGAATTAATGACGGGGGAGAATCTTCATGTAATTATTAACTCCTCTTTAGTCAACCATAATAATAATAATAATAAAATCAATTAAACAAGAATTTGGCTTTGTTAAATGTATTAAATAGTACACACATGCATTATTATTTATTTTAAATTTCATTCTCTCTACATTTTACTTTCTTATTTTATTACACCAAACAGCTCAGTGTTTTTAATTAATTAATTAATTTATTTTTATTATGATATCTCAGATGAACTGTCAAGAATTAAATTAAGAAACCTCGAAAACTTCCTGTCTGAAAGTTGCCCTTTTTCCTCTCTTTTCTTGTCCGAAGCTTCCCCCAAATTATTTCTAGGGTTTCTGTTCGATTTCAATTTCAATTTCAATTTCTAATTTCAATTTCGATTTGAATTTGAATTTGAATTTGAGAATGAGAGATTTCGCGTCGTGTTTCAGTGATTATGCCGTTCAAGTCTCCGACACGTCGTGCTCGACGCAGTCGTCCAATTCCTGCATCTCGCCGGCGGTGTCGCCGTCGCCGTCGCCGCCGTCCGTACAGAATTCGGTGACGTGTCTGTACAAGACGGTGGTGTCGTCGACGCAGGAGCAGCTGTTAATTACCCTAACCTGGTGCAAGACCGCCGCCTTCCAGGGCCTCAACGTCGCCGTTGGCCGCGGCGGCGCCGCTCCCGTCGCCGCCGTCAAGCTCAGCACGAACTCCCGCCTATTCCGGAAGCTGAAAGGCACCAAATCTCTGCAACTCCAGGACCTGGAAATCGAGCTTTTCTGGGATCTCTCCACAGCCCGATTCGAATCAGGGCCCGAGCCCGTCGACGGCTATTTTATCTTAATCACCATTAATTCCGAGCCCGCCCTACTCCTCGGCGGCGACGGCGACACAGCCCGCGAATCCGCCGTTAAAAAGCTCAAACCCGCCGGCGCGGGAGCCGCCAAATTCTCGCTAATTTCCCGGCAGGAGCAGTTTTCCGGCAGCACACAGTACTCCACCAGAGCTCGATTCTCCGACGCCGGAAATTGCCACGACATCGTAATCCGCTGCGGCGGCGGCGGCGGTGGCGATTCCGATGGGGTAAAATCGCCGGCGATGTCTGTTTACATCGATAAAAAAACTGTGATTCGTGTGAAAAGGCTGCAATGGAATTTCCGTGGCAATCAGACAATTTTCCTCGACGGATTGCTCGTCGATCTGTTGTGGGACGTCCACAATTGGTTCTACAGTGACAATAATAACTGTAATAATTCGAATATTCCGGCGGCCGGATGTGCAGTGTTCATGTTCCGGACAAGGAGTGGAATGGACAGCAGATTGTGGCTAGAAGAAAAAATGGCGAACAGATCAGATGAAGACGACGAGGGGAAAATTGGGTTTTCACTGCTCATCCTTGCCTGTAAGAACATCATCCCAACAATGTAAGAACACTTTGGATTCAGGTTACTTTTTTTTTTTTTTTTTGAAATTGAAATTGAAGAATTGGCAAAAAGGGGGGATGTGAAAAACTCGTAAGAATGATTAATTTTCTTCAAATTTGTGTTTTTCGGAGTTGTGATTTTGTGCAATTGTAGATTGAATTGGAGCAAAGATTGGATCTTTAATTTTAATTTTAATTTTGCTGTAATAAAAACTCAGAATTGATTGAATTCATCTAGACATGGATATTTAATTTGTTTATTTATTTATTTATGGGAAATCTGAAAAGGAATCTGTTGAAATGATGATGATGATTAGGGAATTTGAAATGAAGATTTTCAAAGAAGATTGGATTGGGTGTGTCCCAATTTAATTTTATTTGGTTACTTTTTGGTGCTTTTTACAGCTTTCAAGAAAGGTTGTAATAAACCCGAAAAAGGTTGTCTTGCAACACAAAAAAGGGGAGAGAATCTCCAGAGAATAGGAATTTGAGATCAATCTCACTATTCATTAATATATTTTTTTAAAAACATTATTTACTTATGATAAATAAATATGTTTTCTTTGTTTTGTTAACAGTAAGAAAGTGAATAAGATTTTGTTATTGTATTTGTCACGAAAAAAAATAAAAATTGTTATAAATCATTTTAATATATCTATAAAATATGTCATCATATCATATCTAATAAAAAAAAATACGTATTCAGTTTCAAATATTGTGCAATAGCTCTGTAGGGAGTGTTATGAAAATTTAAGTGAATAATAACATTTTATTCGTCTTAATTCAAAATATTTTTTTTACTATTTTCGTTCATTTTATTTCACTATTTTAGAAAAAAGTAATTATATGCTTAATATCAAACTATTTTTTTAATTTTTAGTTAAATTATAAATATATCTTTACACTTTATGCGAAAAGTCAAATGGCAAAAGTGATCTTTTGCAAAAGGGACGGAAGGAGTATTGAATATGATAATTTGAAAACTAAATAATGTGATGAGAAAAATATGTATATTTATTTTTTATTTATGTGATGTAGTGAGATAAAATATGATGTAAAAAATAAATATGTTTAATTTTTTATTTTAAAAATATTGCAAATGTTTGAAATAATCCAGAAAAAATTATTGTATAATATTGAGAGGAAAGAAGCATCACTTTTTTTAAAAAAAAAAAATTATTTTTTCATCTATTCACTCAATTGTTATTAAAGATCTTATTTTTTACATTCATTTACTTTTAATTCAAAATTTATATTACTAGTTCTATAAAAATTCAATTTTATTCTTATGGAATATAATCTCTTCACCTCGTAACAAAAGTATTTTTTTTTTTTTAGTAATTGTATTATTTACCTAACATTATAAATACCTTTACAATTTATAATATATTACATAAATATCATTACATTTATATCACACAATATTAATAAGGTTGTTTTAGTTATTTCCACTTTATTCATATTATATTCCAATATAATACTAATATTTTTAAAATCTCATGCAAAAAACAAATGAATATATAATTACGGGACGGTGGGTGTATAAAATAATACTCCCTCCGTCCCACATACCGTGTCTGCTACACTGTAGACACGGTATTTTAGGAGAGGTGTAATTAGTAGATAATTAAGAATGTATGAGTGAAAATAATTATCCGATAATATAAATAATTATAAATTAAAATTATGATAACTAATTAGTTGAATTAAAATTTTAAAAAAGATAAAATTAAAAAATTTAAAATGAGATTAAAGTGCGTAATCATTTTTTAAAAATAAAAAATAATATGGTATATGAAACGGACAAAGACGACATTGCAGACATGATACTTGGGACGGAACGGAGGGAGTATTAATATAAAAATATTTTGAGCATTATTTTATAAAATTGTAGCCAAAAATGGATATCCAAAAATGAAGAAACAGCCAAAAGGAGTTGACAGATCTTATCAAACCCAAACCCAGTCAGTGCTATTATTCATGTCTGTCTCTCTGTCTGTCTGTCTGTCTCTCTCTCTCTCTCTCTCTTTCTCTCTCTCTCTAGATATATATATATATATATGTATGTAATATATCTGGACCACACACATTACATTTTTCATGACCCTTCCCTTTTATTTAAGGCGTACGTGTTAGGGGTGCGTGTTATTTTTATTTTTTACTTTTTATTTGAATAATAATTTTTGGGTGTGTTTGTTTGGAAGATTGGATTTAAATTTAATTATTCATCCAATTTTTCTCTTAAAAAAATATCAAATCAAATATTTATTTTTTATTTTTTATATTATATTAAAAATCAATTTTACATTCAAAACATCACATCAATACTTATTTATATCACATCATACAACTATTCAAATTCAAAATTTTTACTATTCAAAATCTCAATCCAAAATCCAAACCTCCAAACAAACACACTTAATATATTTACTAAAAAATAATACTCTTCTATCCTTAGTTTCTTAACAAATTATCAATTTTATTTTTTTCAGCGACGGCACTATTTAACTAATATTACAAATATCTTACAATTTATAATATATTAACAAATATAATTATTTTTATATCACACAGTATTAATAAAAAAATTTTAGTTATTTTTATTTTATTTATACTATATATCAATATAATATTATTATAAATAAAATTATATACAAAAAAATAAATAAATATCTAGTTACGAGACGAAACCGTTATATTGTTCATTTGAAAGAGGAAATGGGAAAATTAGGTTATGGTTCCATGTTGGGGCATGAGGGGTGTTTTTGTCCAAATGGCAAGTGCCAAATCAAGAAGGAAACTCACTATCAGCTTTTTCATGCAACTTGGCTTAAGCTTTTATTATCTTCATTTGGTTGGACGAATTTTAATAATCTCTCCGTCCCATAACAAAAGTATCTATTTTTTTATATTTTAGTTCGTTTCATAATAAAATATTAATATTTATTTCTCCTTTTTGTAATTATACTATTTACTTAACATTACAAATACTCTTACAACTTACAATATATTACACAAATGTCATTACCAAATATCACACATACTAATAAGGTTATTTTAGTTATTTTTACTTTATTCATACTGTATTCCAATATAAGACTAATATTTCTAAAACTACGTACAAAAAGCAAATGGATATTTACTTATGGGACAGAGGGAGTAAAAATAACTAATACTCTCTCACTCCCAAAAAACGTCTTGTTGGGAGTTGACACGAGAATTAAAAAATAATAGTATTTAATTGAAAATAAATATAAAATAGAATGTAAAAAATTAAAATACTCTTACTTTTTGTGAAGGATTTTAAAAAGTATTTTAGAGTAATAATTAGAGATAGTTTTGAAAAGTATAAATAATTTTGTTATAAAATGATAACTAAAATTACTAAATAAAAAAATAAGATAATCTTTTTGGGATGAACAAAAAAAAAAAAAACCAATACTTTGGGACGAAAAAAGTACTTTTTTCATAAATCAAATTTATTATTATTATTATTATTATTATTATTATCATTATTATTAATTTACTCTATTACTATTTCTAGAAAAAATGAAAAAAAGGTAATATTTAATTATTAGTTTTTATTAATATTTATTTACAATAAATGTGTTAATTTTATCGTATTCATTCTCTTTATTCATTTGAATTATAATTAAATTTTAAAAATATCTTAACTATCTTTACTTTTTTAAATAAAAGACCCAGTCTCTTTTGAAATACATTTTTCGAATTTTATAATAGATTAAAAAATAATATTATTTTATTGATTAATTCAAGTAAAATTTGATGTTTTTGTCTTTTAATTTTTTTGTGTAAAATAATTGTATGTTTAATGATATACTTATAATTTAAATAAAAAATTAATAATATTTAAATATTAATGTACGATGACTTTTACTTTAAAAAAATGATACATAAAATAATAAAAATGATATTTTGGATTAAAATAAAAAAAATATATTTTTATTCATGTGTCAAGCCCAAATAAATTAAATACTCCTATGACATACTGAGGAAGTAATAACTATTTTTTTAATAAGAAAAAGTATAAAAAATATTATTGCTTTTATTAAAAAAATATAGAATTATTTTTGTAACAGTGAAAAAACAAAAGTAAATACAGTACAAATTTAGATGACGTACTTTTTATTATTATTATTACTCCATACCTGGTAAAAGAAAGTGGTGAGAACTTTACATTAGGGAAATTAAAAATAAATAATATTTGATTTTTATTTTTATTTTTTATTTTTTAAATGTAAGGATAAAAATTTAATATCGGTTGGTAAATATATGATGTAAAAAATATAGAGAAGCCTAGACTGACTACTAAAAAAATACTATATGAAGTCCAACGGTAATATTATTTAAATAAATAAATGAATAATAAAAATTTATAGAACAATTGTGAGGGCGTGTTTGTTTTGTGGGATTTTGAATTGGATTTTATTATTTAAAAAAAAAAATTTAAAAATTACTATTTTCGTCCGAGCTAATTTGTCTATTTTTGTGACACAAAGTTTTGGTATGTACAAATTATTTTATCTTTTACGATGGGTGAAATTAATGTGTGGGTATTGCTATAAATAAGTGTAAAGGTTAGAGGTGGAAAAAAATAACGAAATAATGTACATATCGTATCGAAAATATCAAAAGTTTTAGTGTACTGAAATTTCGGTACGATAACGGTATGTAATACCAAAATTCGATATTTCAGTATATATACCGAAAATATTGTATATAATTTTGATATTTGATATATCAGTTATGTACAAAAAATTTTGATATACTAAATTATCAAAACGGTACGGTATGTATATCTATCGTACTGAATTTTCGGTATGATATCAGTATAAAAAAATATTATTCTAAAAATTTTGATACAATATATGGTATAAATTTCGGTATACCGTATCAATCACCCCTAGTAGGTGATAGTATCTGTAGTGTCTATTGGGATTCATCCATACTAAAAAAGCAAAATAGATATTTTATATTTAGATACTTAAAATGAAAATGTATATACTTACCAAATAGAAGAAAGACGTATATAAATTTTCACAACTCTGCTACACAGCGGCCATGCCCGACTTTGTTTAGATAAAAAAAGTTTTGGAAGTTTTGAAAATTTAAAATATTAAAAATTTAATATTTGATTTAATATTTTATAAAACAATATATATATATTTTATATAGTGTTTTTTAAAATGGAATAATGCCTGAAATCCAAACTTTGTTGTATTAACAAAATTCAATGTTTTCAAAATCACAACTGGCAAGCAAATGCATCTTCTCATTCACTTCGACTTGTAATTATAACAATATTTTCAAGACAAAATTTTTGAAAATAATAAAAATCTACTATCCGACAATATTAATTAATAGTACTAAAAATTTAAAAAATATTTATATTAATATAATTTAAATTTTAATAAAATTTTCGATCGTTAAAAAGAATGTCCCCAAACAATCAAATTAGGTTCGGCTTCATGTCTCGTATCAAGATGAGTGCTTCTTCGAGCAACCCGCCTCTACATAAAAGATCAATCGTGCAACCCTAGCGTTCGACATTGGAAAAGATGGAATAGCCGCGGATCATTTTCCGAAATCCTTGCTTGCCTTCTTCGACCATTCTCCTCCACCATTTTGTCTAGCATTGTCAGCCTTTTTTTTGCGCATCCATTGAATGCAAAGCAATAGAAAACTATGTTTTTCTCGGATAATTTGGAGAACACGGTTGCTCCAACCCTCCGCACTTGCGAGCATATATTAATCAACAGAGATCTGAGGTAAACACCGATGTGAAAATCTTGCTAGCGTTACAAACAAATGCATCGTAAAGTTTTAGAGTTTATATATGTTGATTGACTTTATAAAAAATACATAAATAATATGTACTAATTTATATTTATATTTTTATGTGAAATGATCATTTGAATTTTGATAGAAATCAGAATCGTAATGTTTCGTCATAGTAGGTAGTAGATGAGATCATAGCACACAAGTCAAACTTTTTAAAAAAAAAAAAAAAACTTATAACATGAATTGAACATTACATTACTCCCTTTAGTTCCAATACAACAGTCATCTTTATCATTTTTGTCAATCCCAAAACAATAGTCTCATTTTCATAAATAATTATATCATTATAAAACTACCGTTATTTTTTCATTATTATTATACAATCGCCACTACTTTTTACACTAATACACTCACAAGGGCAAAAAAGTCTTTTACTCGTACTTTTTTATCGATTATCAATATAATATCAATATTTCTTAAATCTCGTACCAAATACACCCAAACTATAGTTTTGGGACAGAGAAGTATTATTTTTGCACCATCAAATTATTTTTATACTATTATTTTTAATATACTACTATGATTAAAATATTATTATTTTTTAAATTTTATAAATTATTTATAACTTCCTTATAATTTCGAATTCAAAGTAATTTTTTTCAATTTTAAAAATTGTATATCATCCTTTATATTTTAAAAAAATAATTCATTCTTCCGTATTTCAAAACTCAATGTAAATTATCATTTTAAATTAAAAATTACATGAGACCCTCCTTATTTATAAATGTTATTTAAATAAATAAATAACGTTTAAACTTATTCAATAAAAATCACAATAATGTCCAATTATTTTTTAAAATTACCTCTCTGACTGAGAAAACTATTTCCATTTCCATTGTAAATTTAAAAGGAAGTGAAAAGTATAGGGATTATTAGATATATTATTTGTGAAGAATATTATTTTAGAAAATATAAATATATAAATAAATTACACTTAGGATGTGTTTGGCTTCGCGTCCTCTTCCAGGCTTCACCGCCGCCGCCTAATCGATTCTCCAATCTCGCCGGCCGGCGTTCACTGCTATAATCAGTTCTTCAGAAAAGTTCCGGCGGTATGGCAACCAACGCCATCGTCTGCACGCACAATCGACGATGGACTAGCAGCCATTCACTTCCCTCATTCCTGGCGGCTGAGACAGCCGACTACCACCATGGAAGCCGGCGGCTTCCCACACCTATCATATCCAACGACGACGGAGAACGGCGGGGATTCGGTCGAGCTCGGCCACGGTTATTGCTGTCTATACCTCACGGCACAGCGCCTCCGGCTAAGAATAGCCCAATCGGTCTGAGGTAATCAAACAAAGCTATCCTAAAATCGTTTGGAGATTGATTCGTAATTATGAGAAAATAGAAACTGCAATGCAGTCGGTAATTGAGGTTTCAATTAGGATTGAAGCTTTGGGGGTTTTTGACATTTTAATTTCACTAATTTAGGGAAGAAGGAAAAGATTGACGCTGAAAACTAGGGCTTAGAAGATGTCATTGTATAACATTTGAAGTAATTAGGAATCTACTATGGTGGAGTATTATTTGTTTTGTGAAATTATCAATTCTTGCGTTTGGGAATCATTGAATTATGAATTTGAATTGTGAATGAGGTCATGTGTATATCCAATATGGATATATGTTTTTTGTTGAATATTTTGAACTTGAATGGCAATTTGATGATTCAAACAGTCTGATAATTCTTGAAAGGGTAATTTCTGTCATAGTTGTCAATAGCACGCCATAGCTGTGTTGTGGAGCTGCTGTCCGCGGTTCCCCTGCCGCATTTGAGCAATAGTAGTTGTAGCACCGTTCAGCAGTCGTGTGGTGCAGAGCTTCAAAAGCTCTATGTTTGATCTTACATGTAAGATTATGTATATACGATTATATTTGAGTGCTAATCAATCCACTAATCATGTAATGTATTATTTATAAAAAAAAATTGTTTTTTGGGTATTTAGTTTAAATTGTATGATATAACATAATATTTATAGGTATTTTTAGCTCTAGATAGGGAAATGACATTGCACAGGTGACAAGCCTATAATGGAAGAAATGAATGAAGATGAAGAACTACCTCATGTAGGATAATTTTTCGAGTAGTAGTAATTAGGGTGAAAAAGTAAGGGAAAAAAATTATTTCTCATATTTCGAAATTTGATTAAGTTCGATTGCCTGTTTGTGAAAGTTGTAGTGATCTAATTGTTTTCCTTATATAACTTGTTATGAGAAAACGAGAAAGAAAGCAAATAAAGAACACAGAGGTTTTACGTGGTTTGGTGACGGTATGTCAACCTACGTCCACGGGCAGGAACCGGAGAGATTTTATTATACTGATTCAGAGATTTACAATGTGTCATCCGACTAAGAACCATAGTTGTCTATTTATAAGCACCCCAAAACACCTAAACCCTAAGCCCATTTGTTATTAATTAGGATCAGCCCAAAAGGAACTCAGCCAATTGAAACAGCCCTTTCGCTTTGGTTTAGGGTCGGGTAGACCGCTAAATCCAAGTCACGTTTCAACAATCTCCACCTTGACTTGGAGTTTCTCCAACCGCCAAAGGTTCGTCAGTATCTCTCAGTCGTCTCCTTCCTGCCAGATGCCCCGAGAAGGCTTTACCTCCTACGAATATTCACCAAGTTCAAGCAATGCTCAAACTTCTCCGTCGGTAGCGCCTTTGTTAACATATCAGCTGGATTGTATTCTGTAGCTATTTTCTGAATAGAAAACTTGTCTTCCTCCAGAACATCACGGATAAAATTCAACCTTACATCAATATGTTTGGTTCTCTCATGATACACTGGATTTTTAGCCAAACTCAAAGCACTTTGACTATCACAGAATAACACCGGTTTCTCCACCTTCAGACCCAAACTCTGCACCAGACCATGTAACCAGATACCCTCCTTAATACCTTCAGTCATTGACATGTATTCCGCCTCAGTCGTCGACAATGCAACCGTAGGTTGTAAAGTAGACTTCCAACTGACTGCACATCCAAACAAAGTGAAGATAAAACAAGTTAGTGATCTTCGTTTCACCAAGTCACCTCCGTAATCAGAGTCTGCATAGCCAACAAGACCATCACCATGGCCTTTATCATCATATACCAGACAAATATCAGACGCTCCTTTCAAATATCGCAAGATCCACTTTACAGCTCCCCAGTGAGCTTTACCTGGATTAGCCATAAACCTGCTCACCACACTAACCGCATAAGCGAGATCCGGTCTCGTACATACCATCGCATACATAAGACTTCCAACTGCACTTGAATATGGAACCGTCTTCATGTAACTAACCTCTTCATCTGTAGCCGGTATAGTGCTTCGATCAAGTTTAAAGTGTGCCGCCAAAGGGGTACTTACCGGTTTGGACTGATCAACAGAGAATGCCTGCAAAACTTTCTCAATATACTTTTCTTGAGAAACCCACAACCGTCTTGCTTCTCTATCACGCCAGATCTCCATACCAAGTATTTTCTTTGCCGCACCCAAATCCTTCATCTCAAACTCACCCTTTAGTAGAGCCTTCAAGTCATTAATTACAACCATGTTCTTAGCTGCAATTAACATATCATCCACATACAACAACAGATACACAAAGGAATCAGTAGAAACTTTCTTCGAGTAAACACAGTTATCAAACTGATTACGAGTATAACCATTAGACACTATGAATGAGTCAAATCTCTTGTACCATTGCCTCGGAGATTGCTTCAAGCCATACAGAGATTTCTTTAACAAGCATACCTGGTCCCCTTTGGAACTGTAGAACCCCTCCGGTTGAGACATGTAAATTTGTTCTTCTAGATTACCATGAAGGAATGCTGTTTTTACATCAAGCTGCTCCAGCTCCAGATCAAAAGCACCCACCATTGCCAAAAGAACCCGAATGGTTTTGTGTTTCACCACAGGAGAAAAGACTTCATGGTAATCGATTCCTTCCTTCTGTGAAAACCCTTTTGCCACCAGTCTCGCCTTGAACCTAGCAGGTTCAACACCAGGAATTCCCTCATTTCTTTTAAAGACCCACTTGCATCCCACTGGCTTCACCCCTTTTGGTAGTGCAACAAGATCCCAAGTCTTGTTCTTTTCAAGAGACTGCATCTCTTCATTCATTGCCATAATCCAGGTTTCTGCATCTTTACTCGCCACAGCTTCTTTATATGTCTTTGGCTCATCAGAGCCAAGATCATCACCAACCGCTAGTGCATAAGCAACAGAATCCATGTCACACGTATTGACACATCCTGCAAACCTAGCTGGTTTCTGAATATTTCTCTTTCCCTTTCTTGCTGCTATGGAATCTTCAACCCCAGTACCAGCGTCATCAGCTTCCCCCTCAACCGGTTTCCCTTGAGGTTTTGACTGATCTGGTTGATCGGATTGATCAATAGTATTATCCTGCTGCTTTTCCTCTAACACAAGTACACAACTCTGTCAGGAGTCTCAAACTCCACCCTCTGGTTAGCACCACAATCTTTTGTACCTGCAATACTTTCACAACCTCTACTCTGATCAAGCATAGCAGATTCATCAAAGGTTACATCTCTGCTAATAAGAAATTTACCAGGATTTTTACCTTCTGTACACCACAGTCGATAACCTTTTACTCCTGTTGCATACCCTAGAAATATGCATTTTACCGCCCTCGGCTCCAGCTTACCATCATTCACATGAGCGTATGCAGGGCATCCAAATATTCTTAGATTAGAGTAATCAGAGGGTTTACCGGACCATACCTCTTGAGGAGTCTTTAAGTCAATTGCAGTTGATGAAGATCTATTAACCAGATAGCTAGCAGTGTTTACTGCTTCAGCCCAGAATTGCTTAGACAAGCCAGCAAATATGCGCATACACCTAGCACGCGCCATGAGGGTTTGATTCATTCGCTCTGCAACTCCATTTTGTTGTGGTGTGTGTCGTACAGTGCGGTGCCTCACTATACCTTCTTTCTTGCAGAAATCATCAAATAGAGCGTTGCAGAACTCCAACCCATTATCAGTTCTTAGAGTCTTGACCTGTTTACCCGTCCGTTTTTCAACCATGGTCTTCCACTCTTTGAACTTCCCAAACACCTCATCTTTAGTTTTTAGAAAGTACAACCAGACTTTTCTCGAATAATCATCTATGAAAGTGACAAAGTAAGAACACCCGCCCTGCGATTTCACCGGAGAGGGACCCCATAGATCTGAATGAACATACTCCAGAATTTGTTTTGAAGTGTGATGACCGGTACTAAACCTCACCCTGCGTTGCTTTCCTTTGACACAAGTCTCACAGAATTGAATTTTACCTATCACATCTCCACCAAATAAACCCTGCTTGCTCAACACAGACAACCCTAACTCACTCATGTGACCTAATTGCCGGTGCCACAAATTTGTCCTATCATCATGTTTATCCAAGGATTGGGATACCGCCGCCGTTCCCATCACTGAACTGCCCTGTAGAAAATAAATTCCATGCTGCAGTTTTCCCTTCATCATTACCAGCGCACCTTTCAGGACTTTCACCCACTCACCTTCACCATGATATTTTAAACCATTCTTGGCTAAGGTGCCAAGAGAAATCAAATTCTTTCTGAGTTCAGTAACATACCAACAGTCAAATTTCCTGACAGTACCGTCATGCAATTTTATCTGCACTACCCCGCTCCCTTTTATGGCTAGAACCCCATCATCACCTAACTTCACTGTTCCATTCCACTCCTTAAAAGAAGTGAGTAGATCACGAGAGAACGTCATATGGTGAGAAGCACCGGTATCCATAATCCAGGAATCAGCAGTACTAGCACTACACGCTGTCAGAACTTCACCAAAGTCCCCATCATCAGAACTGTCTTGTACCACAGCAGCACTGCTGCCACTGTTACTAGAATCAACTTTTGTATTTCCCTTCTTTTGTGGACAATCCCTTTTAACGTGCCCTTTCTCCTTGCAAAGATAACACTTAACTTTGCTAGAGGATTTTGATTTTGAACGCGACCTCCCATTCCCGTTACCCCTCTCCTGTGGTCTTCCCCTACCTGCAAACAGACCTGAACCAGAACCCTCTTCCAGATAAACCTTTCTTTTCAATTCTTTGGACATAAGGGCATCTTTCACATCATTAACAGAAATTGTAGTTCTACCATATAGCATAGTATCTACAAAATTCTCGTATGAACCAGGTAGTGAACACAGTAAAATTAGGGCTTGATCTTCATCATCTACTTTAACCTCAACTCCTTGAAGATCAAGAATGATACGGTTAAAGGTATCAAGATGATCCTTTACCTGAGTACTTTCGGACATCCGGAGGGTGTAAAGACGTTGCTTCTGATATAGCCTGTTCGTGAGAGAGTTGTTTTGGTACTTCTCACACAGTTTATTCCATAACCCAAAAGCCGTTGTCTGATCTACAACCTCCCGTAACACCTTATCAGTAACTGACAGCAAGATCGCGGAATGAGCCCTTGCCAAAATCTCCTTATTTACCTCCTCCTTCGTGTCTTTAGGAAACTTGTCTTCTCCCTCCAACGCAGCCGCACATCCTTGTTGAACCAGAAGTGCCCTCATCTTGACCTTCCAGAGCGTGAAGTCATTCGACCCATTAAACTTCTCCAGATCAAATTTATACGAGGACATCTTCAATCAATGGGATATGGCTCTGATACCACTTGTTATGAGAAAACGAGAAAGAAAGCAAATAAAGAACACAGAGGTTTTACGTGGTTCGGTGACGGTATGTCAACCTACGTCCACGGGCAGGAACCGGAGAGATTTTATTATACTGATTCAGAGATTTACAATGTGTCATCCGACTAAGAACCATAGTTGTCTATTTATAAGCACCCCAAAACACCCTAAACCCTAAGCCCATTTGTTATTAATTAGGATAAGCCCAAAAGGAACCCTGCCAATTGAAACAGCCCTTTCGCTTTGGTTTAGGGTCGGGTAGACCGCTAAATCCAAGTCACGTTTCAACATAACTATCTATGAGTTATGATTATATATATTTTTTAGTTTATTGATTTAAATGATGATTATGAGATTAATTTATAAAATCTTCTTATGCATTTTTATTGTAATTTTGTGTATGTTATAATTTTATAGGTATATATTTAAGTTTTTAAACAACGGTCATCCGTATCCCGCTATAGCATTTTAGAGATTGGCCACTATGTAACGCTACCCGAGATTGCCAACTATGCTGTCAGTTGTAGTTGGGATATTGTGGACTTTAATAATGGTAAATATTAATAATGTAAATGCAATTCTTGAGTTGGACTATGATCCTCTGGAGTTTGATCATTGAAACTCAGTACTGTTTATTCACTAGTACTTTTTGGGTTTCGTATTCTGTGAAGATCCATTGAGGTTTCTTGATGAAGAGATTCTTTGACAGGGATTATTTCCAGTAGCTGCTATCATTTAATTTTGAGCAGGGGAACGAGATTTTTCTGACTGAAATCCTTTAAATCATATGTTTTTGTATCATCTTATCGATGAAAATTTAGAACTAAGTTTGGAGCAAACTTTATTTGAGCAAGGCTTGTTTGCTGCACCTACTTCAATGAATGTATTGTTTAGATCAGTTTGGCAATGCATACCTATTTAGAGGTTTTGAAATTATGATCATTAACAAATTGAATTGAAAAAAACCGGGTTGATGCACCTTGCCTTATTCTGAATCAGTGCGAATTACAAAGTTGTGTTAGAAATAGTGATTCAATGATAGATTTGTAGAAGTTGTTTCGAATTGGCATTTGTTTCTACAGCTTGAGGACGGAGAGATTATTGATAATAGGCATGCATCAGAACCATTTATCTGTTATTGCTATACTGCAAAAAGGCAGTTCGATAAAATCATTGATTCTCATTGTTTCTCTTGCCTTTCATTATCTTGTCAGTTCTTCATGCTCAATAATATTCAATCCACTTTGTCATCTGCTTCTCGCAGGATTGATGCAAGTATTCCTCGACAGACTTTCTTTTGTCGCGCTAAGCGTGGTAAGATATTAATATTGCATCTGCATTATGGATGTGACTACAATTGGGGATATGGAAGCCGTAAATCTGTTTCCCCGGCATCATACCTTTTCACAAAATAACATGGTTGGGTTGGATACTTTTTCATTGGAAGCTGAATCCGGCATAGATGGATCGTTAGTGCCTCCAACCTTGATAGCAGCCGAAAAGGAAGAAGCCAAGGCCATTTTGACATTATTTTTGAAGAAACAAGGATCAAGCAATGCAGCTGCTGCAAGGATCATCAACAAATCGGATGCTTTTATCGATCACCTTGTGTTGCGCCTTCACTCTGTTCATAAGTCTCGATACTTAGTAGGTTTGATCTCTCCTTACAATCATGCAAAAACCATATTGCCTGCTTCATTTAATTTCCTTTCTAACTTTATCCACATTCCTTTAATTTTCTGTTCTTGAAGGTCGAGAACTCACAACGCTCGAGATTAGAGATTCTCTTATCCCTTACCTTGAGACCCTCCTCGAGGAATACGGATCCATTTTGGTAGATGTTGTGGAGAACTTTCCAGAACCACCCGTCAAGAGAAAAACAGAAGAAAATGTTCAGAAACAAAACGCGATCGAAGTTCCTGCCCCATCAGTTTCTCCATCTATTCCAGCAGTGGACTCAAAGAAGTTAAAAGCTTTAGCTCGGGTGAGTGACATTACCCCAACTGGAAAGCTTCCATCTCATATCATCTACCTTGTCGAGCTCGGCATGGAACTTGAAGCAATTAAGGAAGTGATCCGCAAGTTCCCAGCTTTTGCATACTATAGTTTGGAGGGTAAGATTAAGCCGGTGGTCGAATTTCTGATCGATCTAGGCGTGCCAAAAACACACATCCCAACAATCCTCAGCAAAAGGCCTCAGCTCTGTGGAATCAGCCTCACCGAAAATCTGATCCCCACCATGGCATTTCTTGAGGAACTCGGCGTGGATAAGAAGCAATGGGCAAAAGTCATATATCGATTTCCTCCTCTCCTCACTTACAGCAAACAAAAGCTCATCACAACCGTAGATTTCCTGTACGAGATGGGGCTCTCGGCCGAGAATGTGAGCAAGGTCCTAACTCGCTGCCCGAACATTATAAGCTATAATGTGGAGGATAAACTACGACCGACTGCTGTTTATTTCCAGTCTCTGGGTGTCGACGTTGCAGTTCTTCTCCATCGAGCTCCTCAAACTTTTGGCCTCAGCATTGAGGCGAATTTGAAGCCGGTTACTGAATTCTTCTTGGAGAATGGATATAGCTTGGGTGAGATTGCAACTATGGTGTCGAGATACGGGGCTTTGTATACTTTCAGCTTGCCGGAGAATTTGAAGCCGAAATGGGAGTTTTTCTTGACCATGGTATACCCGAAATCTGAATTGGTTAAATTTCCACAGTACTTTGGGTACAGTTTGGAAGATAGGATCAAACCAAGGTATGAGATTGTGAGGAAATACGGAGTCGAGATGCTACTGAACCAGATGCTGTCTCTCTCGGAAGATGATTTCCGTAAACTTTTGGATAAAAGGGTGCAGAAAAAAGCTTCATGACAAATTGGTGTTGTTCGACAGAAGAAAAAATGTCGAATGAGTTACATAGAGCCAATACAGGTTTGGCTGATAATTGGAGTTTTGGTTAAAACAGTCGAATGAATTGTTCCACGACGAACCCTCTGCTCGACTGGTACGTCTAACTCCTAATGTTCATACACATCTTTTTGCATTAGTCGTAAATCCTACACCTCGACTTTAATGTGCTGTGGTTATGTTTTTGTTTATCGGGTGAAACTTTAAGTTCTCGGCGTCTTATAACTATCGTGGTAATTGTCGGGGCCATGAAATAATTGTGTTGTTTCTTAGTTACTTGAATTATGTTATGTTCATTCTTGTGAATGAATTCATGTGAAGCTATCTATGTAAGGATGATGAATACTATCATTTTAGAACATGGTATCTTATTTTCTGATATGAGATGGAAAAGATGAGTTGCTGCATTGAATTTTGTATTTTGAATGATGATTGTATCATAATAGAATTTAAGGTAAATTGCTTTTTTAATCTTTGTATCATATCATTTTATGACTCAGTAAGTAAAATATTTTTTGCTAAAATGATCCTTCGTCAAGTTAACTTATCGTTTCTGATGTAGCGTTGACATAGCTGACATATCACTACCACATAATGCCCCACTTCGGAGGATTATTTTAACAAAAAAATTTTATTTTGCATGACTATTTTCCGACAGAGTCTATTTAAAGTTCTAAAAATATAAACGAAGTATATACGGAACTAAAAAAATAATTTACCAAAATTTTTTGTAAAAGTAATAAAAAAAAAAAAATTCTACACGTCGCTGACATGGCATTTACATAGCAATGTTATGTCAATTGCATCAACGCCACGTTAGCAGCAGCGAACCACCAGGGTAAGTCCAGCACTAGAGGACTATTTTAACGAAAATTTTTACTTACGAGAGGACACGATCACTAAAGTTCTAAGACGATAAAAGAAGTCAAACAGGAGGGACTAAAAAAAGTTTGTCCTAAAATTAAAAATCAACGCTTCCCACAATTATAAGCAAAATATGTAATCTAGAGTTAACATAAACACAACCACAACATTCCTTCCAAATTCCAATTCAACAAAATTAAAAGTGATAGCATCTATAGCCATTTGAATAAATAAAACTTCTGTTGGTATTTCTTAGGGATACCTTTCAAAATGCAGCATCATTAATCAACATAGTCCCTCCAAAACTAACCATCGACGAAAACCCGATCACCGATTAACTCGTACATCGCCTCTTCTTCATCTGCATTCGCCCATCGACTTAATCCAAAACGACATAAGACACTGATATCATGTTCTTCGATTCAAAGATGCATATATCGACATGTTAGCTTGATCTAGGGGCAAATGTAACTTACTCTAATTGTGCCAGAGCTTCGACAAAGGCTTCCCTTTTTCGCACATCACTACGCACTCCATGGCCATGTCGCGCACTTTTTTCTCGATGTCTTCGACAGGAAGAGTTGCATCTACTATCTACAATGAATTGAAGACGGGAATGTAAAATGGGAAAATTTATGTTTACAATGTTAACAATTCTAAACTCGCTACCTTCCATGTCGAATCGCTAAGCATCTTATACGAATCAGCAACTTTTTTCTGAAACTCGAGCTGCTCGTACCTCTCAACTCCATAACCGCCCCTCTCGGCAGCTTTCTGAGAAAGACAAGTTCAAATATTATACGTCGCTAAATAGGAAACATTCTTGATGCAATAAAAGACACATCGACAGGTAACGTAGATCATATCACTTCATATAATAATCTACCTCTGGCGATATGTCGAGATATATAACTAGATCCGGAGCTAGCAATCCTGCCTCTGGAGCCTGCAGATACATGTATATTGTAACCGGTAAAACGATTTCTACAATGGTGATTATAGTGTCGATATATATATATATATATATAATTCTCTACCTTGCACCACTCGACGTCAAGTCCTTTGGCGGATGAAAAAGCGACCCCAGAAAAAGCATATCGATCAACAATGAGTGTGGTTCCGCTCCTCAGCTTAGACTCCATCAACGATCTAAAGCCAAGTGGTCGACGATACATTAAAATTGCATAACCATCAAATTTTTGACAAAATAATAATTTCAAGTTAGAATGATTTAAACAAGAAATGATATGTTTGCTCAACTATGAAGCAATCAGATTTCAAAATGTTATACTCACTCCGTCCCATAACAAGGTATCTATTTGTTTTTTGCGTCGTTATACTTTAACATTAAAAATATTTTTATATTTATAGTAATTCTTTATACAAATGTCATTATATTATAGTATTATAAGACACTAATAGAAATATTTTTGTCATTTTCTTTTGATTTGTAATATGTTTCGATATAATAATTAATATTCAAAGATCAACACGCAAACAGTAAATGTATACTTAGTTACGGAACGGAGAGAGTATAATTGTCCAAGACAATATTGAGATTAATGAAGTTAAAATTTATCGTTTTTCAGGCTAACATTAACAAAGATTAATGATTCACGACGAAAAAGCTTGCTGACCTCTTCTCCCACCGATTTGCACTGAAGAGCAAATGGATCGTGTGGTCGTCCAAATGTGTTTGGTTTGTTAGATACGAAGAAATCATCTGCCCAACACCTGTGTTTCTATCGGGATATCTCCATGATTCGACTGAACGTCCCGACTCTTTTATGTAAGAATGTAATCTCCCACATTGAGACGTCTTCCCACATCGATCCAGACCTTCTAGAACAATCAAAGCGCCTCTCAGGTCAATATGACTACTTCTTTCCATATGAATGTCCCTCGACGAGCACTTTGATAGGTATGCTATATTGCAATGAGATGTTCGGGAATGCTTCACAGCAACTGTTACCAAATTGTGGAAAAACTATATGTAAGCATAACTCAATAAAAATCGATTAACATATCATATGATTGAAGATAAATAAAACTCTCCCCTTCATCGATAAATTTTAACAGAATAGAAAAGATAAGATATGTTTATTTGAATGAGAGAGTAATGTCCATTTTAATTGAATTATATTCACATCATATAGACTGTTATGTGTTCATCATCCTCCCTAATAAAGGCATTTTATCGAGCACCTTCCAAGCATACATTCTTCCAATAAAAACGAATAAAATTGGTAAACTTACAAAGCCTTAACAATGGTGAAATGGCAGGCATTGTCATGTCCTAGCAAGTAATGACCTACACATGATTCCAAAACCAATTCAAGAACTACAAAATTGCACAACATTATAAATTCGATTTGCTCACCGGATATTAGTACATAGAAACTTTTAGAACTTTAGCTAGTGAGTATTTATCAACAACAGTAGTCTTTTGAAATCTATGGTATCAAATATCAAGTTTTTACTATTTCAAAAGTTTTTTGATTCTCTGAAACTTCTGTATAAAGGGAAAATATACAGAAATTTTACAAAATAAACCAAATTTGGCATAAAAATCAAATCAATAAACCCTTTTTCATATCAAAGATGAAGCTCTTAGATTACTTCATTACAATGCAACAACTATCCACAATAGATTATATGAATAATGAAAGAAACTTTCAATTGGCATCGACATACTGCAAACATGAAATTCTAGTCACAAAAAATCATATACTTATGACCTAATAAATCTAAAGAGTACAGAATGAGAATGTGACTTAGTCTCAAAAGATCATATTTATCATACATCAAGGATTACAGAAAAATCTAAAAAAATAAAAAAAAATCAAATCGCTGCAAATACTTTAAAGATTATCTGAAAAATAATAAAAAAAATAAGAGGCGAGAGAGAAAGTGAAGGATTGAACCTGCTGAGGGCCAGTTCCAGCCCAAGACAACGTCGATCCGGCCGAAGAAGGGAGAAACGACGGCCAAGGAGACCGCCGGCAGGAGCAGCAGACTGGACTGGTGCAGAAGAGGAAAAGGGAAGACCGCCGGCAGGAGCAGCAGACTGGACTGGTGCAGAAGAGGAAAAGGGAAGACGGGAAAGCGATGAAGAATAAAAAAGTGTTAAAACGACCGGCGGGAAGACTAAGAAGAAGAAGAAATGAAAAAGGAGAGAAAAAAATAAAGGAAAAATAAAAGGAATGAAAAAGAAGGTGAAGACTGAATAGGGAGGAGCGGCTGCAGCGGGGTAGGTTAAACTTTAAATATATTTATAATTCAAATTATTATAGTTTTATATATTCTCTGTATCTCACTCACACATTTTTATTTTTATAAAAATTATTAAATTAAAATATATTTAATAAATATAAATTAATTTAATTAACTACTTAATATACAATATTATAAATTAAATTCCCTTAAAATCCTTTTATTTCTACCTCTATTCAAAAAAAATAAATATATTTATCTATATTTAAAACTATACTATCTTTTATAAAATTGATTTAGGTTAATTATAAATAAACAAAAATAATTTTTTATTTACTTGTATTATAAAAGATTTTATTCTCTACAAAAATGATAGTCATATTGCATATTTTTTAATTGATATATAATTTTTAAATATTTAAACATATATTTTAAATTTTTTAATCATATATATTAAATTTACTTTAAAACTATAAATATTATTAATTATACAAAAAAAATAATATAATAATATCATAACTAATTATTATTAACTAATTAAACATCATCACCTGCGTGTCCCTAATCAAATCGTTCAATTCTGGTGGGAGGTTGGTAGTATTTAGATAGTTGGATTGTTTTCTTCATATTTTTTACTTTTCCATATGACTATTTTGTCCGTTTACTATAGTAACACCAATAAAAATATACTCTCTCCGTCCGATAAAATTAGAGCATTTTGAGCCGGCACGGAGATAAGTAAAATAAATATTTTATTAAAAAAGTAATAAAAAGTAAAAAAAAATTAATTTTTGGTATTTTTAAAAATTTAGTTAGAAAAAAAATAAAGAGAAAAAATGTAATAAAAGTAGTGGCATTTGTTGTAAATAAGTGTTGAATGAAGGATCATATTTAGATATTGATTTGTTGACTTTGCTAAATTAGTAATGGGGTAAATTTAGCGGACGAATTAAAAAGAAAAGTGAGAGTAAATTTGAACAACGGAGGAAGGGAGTATTAGTAAAAATAATTATTATATAATAAAAATAATTTTAGATTTAAAATTAAAATAATTAATTAGTTTAATTAAAATTTAAAAAATTACTACATGACTAAGGTGTATATATGTTTTTCAAAAAAAGAAGTGACAGAACAAGTAAATGGGCCAAAATGAAAATATGGTCAACATAAATGTGACGAGGGAGTATAATTTTCAATATATATATTTTGTCACTTCATAAAGTCAATATTCAAATATAAAATATTATTTTTATATTACACAATTTTCAATAAATATTTTATCATTTCATATAAATTAATATTCAACATAAACTTATTTATTAGAACATCTTTCAATTTTCGTTTATCTCACTTATTTTATAATTTTTATCTTTTAGAAAAAATTATATACTTCATATTTAAATTTTTTAAAATTATATATATTTTAATTAGATTAATTAATTATTTTAATTTTAATCTATAATTATTTTTATTATTTAATTATATTTACTAATACATTATTAATAATTTCCTGATCAATACATCTCTCAAATTTTTATGTCTACAATGAACATGATAGCCAGGGACGAAAAAATATTTTTTATATTACCGACATAATTATTTATAGTTTACATTGAAAGAGATTATTCACATCAAAATACTAACAAACAAATCCATTATTTGATAAAAAGAAAAAATAAAAAAATATTAAAATGGCAATTTATTTAAAAAATGGAAATTGTGATTTTATTTATTTTTATTAAAACAAGGGTTGTGTTTAGGCCTTTAGGGTGTATTTGGACGATAACAAAAAAAAATAAATAAATAATAAAATAAATTTAGAGAATATAAAAAATATAAAATTTCTCTTCGCTTCACGATCCATTCATCAAAAATCTTGCTTCAATGTTGCCCTTTCGACCCGCATAGACATACCTAAACTCTTTGACGTTTGTATGATCCAAAATCTTTACTATATAAATTATGAAAAATATATATATAAATAGGGTAAATTGTTTTTTAGTCCTGTAACTGGACCCCTGTAAGTGGAGCCTGTCGCAAACTAGTTCTATAAGTGAAAAATTTTCGTTGTTTTAGTCCTCCGGCGCCGGAGACGCCCGCGTGGCTCGCCAGAGGTGACGTGTCCGTCAGGCTAGTTTGCGACAGGCTCCACTTACGGGACTAAAATGATAAGGGGTTCAGTTACGGGACTAAAGAAACAGTTTTTCCATATAAATATATTACTCCCTCTGTCCCAATATAAATATAGCACAATTGAATATTTTATTATGAAACAGACCAAAATAAAAAAAAATTGATAAATAATTTAGGGACGATGAAGTATTATTTTATAATTTTTTACAATTATTTCATAATTTAGTAATTGTACTATCTACCTAAAATAATAAATACCCTTCCAATTTATACTATATTACACAAATATCATTATCTTTTATATTACACAATACTAGAAATATTTTCGTCATTTTCACTACAATCCATTATAATACTAATATTGAAAAATCGACGTTCAAAAAGAAGATGACAATCTTGTTCCGAAACGGAAGGAGTATTCAATTTTTAATATTTAAAAAATAATTGAAAAAATATAAGTTTTGTTGAATTATAAATATATATAAAAAATAATTTAAAAAAAAAATAATAATAATAAATATAACTTACCATGCTCAGTCCAATCAATCATTTTGTCACTAAAATTGATAAATTTTTATTTGATTAGACTAAACAGATAAAAAATATATATATACATAGTTTAACAAAGATAGATAATTATGATATTAAATGGTACCAAAAATATTTTTTGCTCAATAAAATGATACTATTGCACTGTCTCGTGTAATATCATAACATTTGTGTTACATGATGTTTCTTTTCTTTTTTCACCATAGAATCTATAATTTATTTATTCAATTCCAACTAAAAAACACAATTCTTCAACCCTATACAAAACATCAACCGTCGCCTATTTTTACTTGCTTGCCGGCCTAATTTGGAAGCTATTAAATTAAGCTAAAATTTTTTACCGAAAACGTACTCAAAGAATAGTGGACAAGTAGTTTGAGATAAACAGTGACTATAAAGTCATGGGTTCAAATATTTATGAATTGTCATAGGTTTAGATTCTCACGTAATAAGTTTAAAAAATTCATAAATATTTGAAAGGGAATAAATTTCTTGAAACCATTCAAAGATAGCAAAACACCCTCCAAAATAGATCATCATCTTCCAAAAATTTCCCAATAAACAAAAGCGTATCCATATCTCCGTCAAAAGAAAAAATGAAAAACTTACGAGGTTACGATGATGGTCGATCCACATCTGCAAATGTTTAGTCGAACAAACTGAAACCCATATCCTGCAACGGCAAACAATCAATGCACAAGTCAAGGTGAGGCTCACAACGAATAAAGATTCGTCTAAAGAACAATCTAAATGTACTCCCTCCGTCATCCAATTGTGTGCTCATTTGGCACGAATTTTTAAAAAAAAAATGTAAGAATAGAAATTTTTACTTTTTTAATAAAAAAACATGGTATTTTTTTACTAAAAAAGAAAACGAAAATAAATTTGGATGACAAAAAAAAAAAAAAAAAAAAAGTAAAGTGAGAATAGATTTGAATGACGGAGGGAGTAATATATTTCTGAAACTCACATCATCAGACTCTTCTTTCTCCTCTACTTTCTCCTCTTTCTTCGACTCGGCAGCAGCAGGAGCAGCGCTGCCGCCACCTGCACCACCACTTGGCGCAGCAGCCGCCACTGCACCACCACCAGCCGGTACTGAAGCCAATTTCTCCCTTCCGGCAGCAATTAGCTCGGTAATATCTTTGCCCTTAACTTGGGTTAGCAACAACTCAATCCTGTCTTTATCAGCCTCAGCCCCAACTGATCCACAAAGGGTTTTAATCATTTGCATCAAAAGGAAATTTGAAACAGAATCGAGCATTGACAAAATGGATAAATGCAAAAGTCCCAATCCAATCACAAGAAGATCAAACTTAATTTCTGCTTGCAGAAACCAAAGTAACAGTGTAAATGTGCAATAAATTTCCGATTTCAATCTCATTAGGCACATAATTTGGTGCAAAAATCCTCCCGAGATCAATTCGACCAATTCGCAAACAAATCAAGCAACAATATATCATACTACATTCTCTTCCTCTTCCCCCAATTTTAGTAAAAACAAATGCCTTCTAGAGTCGAATTACAAATTACGAACAGAATATAGCATTGACAAAATGGAGAAATGCAAAAGTCCCAATCCAATCAGAAGAAGATCAAACTTAATTTCTTCTTGCAGTAACCAAAGTAACGGCGTAAATGTGCAATAAATTTCCAGATAATCCATAACATCATAAACGATTTCAATATCATTAGGCACATTATTGGTGCAAAAATCCTCCCGAGTTCAATTCGACCATTCGCGAACAAATCAAGCAACAATTTATCATACTACATTCTCTTCCACTTCCCCAATTTTAGCAAAAACAAATGCCTTCTAGAGTCGAATTAAAAATTACGCTCTCTTATTCGAGCATCCAAACGATCATCCGTTGCAGAGATAGGTATACAAACCTGAGCCGAGGATTTCTTTTACATCGTTGGCTGAGGGGGAGGTGTTGCCGCCCAAAACCGCCAATAGGTACGCTGCTACAACCTTCATTCTCTGCTCAAAATGAAAAGGAAAAAAAAATGCAAAATCTCAATATTACACCAAGAAATTCAGGAATCAGTGGCACGACAGACTATGGCATCTACAGAATTACAGAATCAATCGATGATTCTCACGACGACGTACATTTTTGAATCGCTGATCGGACGGCGGCTGCTAGGGTTTTACGCTTATGAAGGCCAATTCCACTGTGTGAATTAAGGATTAGGGTTTTCTTTATATTATTAATAGTATTATATAAAGATTTAAGGTTATTTGGGGTTATCTATGAGCCCATTGGGCCCATATTAAGCCTATTAATTTATTTAATTTTATTTTTTCTCTTTTTTTTTTTTTATTGCTTTTGATAAATTATTCTTTATACCATTATACTACTATATATTTATAATTATTTTAATTTGCACTATGGAAACTAAAAAATATTAAAAGAATTATTGGTTTGGATCTAAAATGATTAATAATATATTTATGCAGATATTTATTATATATTTTTGAGAAATTTGAACAATTATACAAAAGTAATTTATCTCTTAATTTATTTTAAACAATTATACAATTTTAATTTAATTTTTAATATATTTTTATACATATAAATTATATAATATTAATACCTTTTAGAATAGAACAATTTAGAAATAATTGATTGTTGTATTTTTATGTTTAAAAATATTTATACTTGTATTTTATTTTTTGTTGTAATATTTGTATTAAATATAGTATGAATTTATTTTATATTATGCAATACTTTAATTAGATCTAATAATTAAAACTAAGTTTAATATTAGTATTTATTATTATATAAATTTATATTTAATTTGAAATGATAAATGAAGACTATTCTAACTTATAGATCCGACTTAAATTGTTAAAATTGTTGTTATCAAATACTTCATTCATAAAAATAATTATGAATTAAGATTAGGAATAGGATAACCAAACAGTGTAATTAACATTAAGAAATTATAAATAACATTCCCTCTGTTCAGCTATAAAGTATACATATTTCTATTTTGGAATGTTCAATTACAAAGTAAACATTTCATTAAATACCTCATTTTTTTTCACAAATATCCTTACTTTACATCATATCATTACTTTTACACCAAAAAGTAAGGACAAAAATATCATTTTACTACTTTTAACTACTCACTATAATTAAAATACTACTTCCTCCGTCCCGAAACTAAGTATCCATTTGTTTTTTGCACGTAATTTTAGAAATATTAGTATTATATTGGGATATAGTAGGGATAAAATAGAAATGACTAAAATAACCTTATTAGTATGTGTGATGTAAAGGTAATGATATTTGTGTAATATATTGTAAATTGTAAGGGTATTTGTAATGTTAGGTAGATACTTACCGTTACTGAAAAAGGAAATGAATACTTTGTTATGGGACGGACTAAAATGGAAAAATGGATACTTTGTTATGGGACGAAAGAAGTATTATTTTTTAAACACCGCGCCGAAAGTAAATGTTTACTTTGTGTGTGAAAAGAGAGAGTAAATTTTAAAATATGATTAAAATGTATAATTATATTTTCGAAAAAAAAAAACGACAAATTATGTGAAACAATAAACACTTATGTAAGACGAAAAAAAAGTGATAAAATACGAGATGTTATTGCAAACAACTTAAAAAGTACTTCTAAGAAAAATGTAATTCTACATCAATTACTACAATATATTTCCAGATCAATAAATCAATTTTAATTCCACGTCAGCACAACATGCATCACACGCTATTTTTTCTCTATCGTCGTCCTCGTACGACCAACCGTGTTTCCTCGTATGCTTATTACAACAGATCGGTTTGTCTTTCAAAATCCATATTTGTCTTAAAATATTATTTAATTTATTCCGACATAATTTTACCTTTTCATTTAAATTACTACATCTCTTCAATTTTCCCATTAATTCAATCCCTTTATGTTTTAACTGATCTTCCCCAATGAATATTATGACAAGGGCAGTAAAGTAAATTGCCCCAAAATGTCCCAATTTTAGAGCTTTATTTAAATTTACTGTGCATGAAACAATATCTGTTTCTTTGAAGTAAGCAACCTGGAAAAAAAAATTAATAATAAAAATTAAAAAATAATAATAATAATAAATAAATAAATAAATAAAATTAGAACAAATTGTAAATTAATACATTGAGACATACCACTGCTTTTCTGAACATGATTTCTGGATTTTTATATTTTTTACATTTACTCAAGAAAGCTTTTTGGCCATGACTCATTGGTTTCCAATTTGCTGTTGGAATTTTTTCTAAATTTGCTCTTTGATATATGTATCCATCTTCCCCAATCTGATTTAATATTTTGCAACTACAAAAAATAAAATAAAGAACAATTAGATAAATCCTTCTGTTCTCTCAACACTAATTTTTAATTGTGATTCACAAAAGTAATAATATAAAATATAAAATATTTTAATAAAAAAAAAAAAAAAAACCCTTAAGATACTCTGTTATAAAAAAATCAAAAATTCATTATAATTATTTTTTTTAAAAAAAAAAACAAATATTTAACCTAAAATAATATATTTTATATGAAAAACTCCTTTATATATATATATTTTTTCAATTTTTGATACAACTCACTGCTCCAATAATAATAATGTATGAAAGATATGAAAAAGAAATACAAAAAAAAGTTCAATTAAAAAAATAATAATAATAAAAAAAATAAACCGACCCCATAAAGGTGGCATGGCCAGGTTATATCCATTGTGTGATCTAAGACTCCTATATCTATGCAAATATTTTAGAAATTTCGATATTATTTATCAGTTGTGATTGTTTTAAAAAAATTCCAAACAAATATTTATTCTTACAAAATATCAAATCAAATACTAAGAGTTTGTTTCTTTTTATAAGTTTGAAAAAAATTTAGTTTGAATTTAGTATTAAAAATAATATATGATGAGATATTTTATGAAAAAAAAATAATTTTTTTTAAAAAAAAACAGAGTCAAAATAATAAAAACCTATGATTTTTTTGGTGTAAAATAACACATGTTAACTTCTTATTATTCTTAGCTCATATTTTTTAAAATTCCACAAATTTATGTATAAACAAGAGCCTTTACATAAACAATTTTAAAACTTTTATACTATCCTCGTCCACCGTTAATATATTCATTTACTTTTTTCATGTTAATATTTAAATATTAATTATTATATCAAAACGTAGTACAAATATAATGACATTCGTACAAAAAATTATATAAATATAAAGATATTTTTAATATTAAAAACAATAATGCCAAATACAAATGGATAAATTGGCTGTGGACGAAGGCAGTACTATTATTAACAAAAACTTTTTAAAAATATAATACCTTATTAAACATATTTTTCACGAGGATATGTTTCTTTTGATAAGTTTGATAAAATTTTGGTTTGAGTTTGGGTATAAAATAATGTTTGATAGGATGTTCTGTGAGAGAAAAAAGTTATTTTTTTTTCGAGAACCGCAGTGTCCAAATAATGAAATTTGGGAAATTTTGGATAAAGAAACATACATAAAATTCTTATATAACCAAAATTTAAAAATAGTAATCGCGAATTCTCATATTTTAAAAAAAAAAAAAAAAACCTCAATTTAGCATTGAAGAAATCAACAAGGGAAGATGCAGCTACACGTCCCAAAATATCAATGATCAATTCATCAGGAAGAGCGGCGAATTTTGTATATTTGAAAAGCATTCTTCTCATGATTTTAATTTTAAATTTTTTGAATAATAAAATTTTCGATATTTGAAGCCAAAATTTATCGTATAAATAAAGAAAGTTTTTATACTATAAAATTAATTTTGGGTCTTCAGAATATTTTTCCCGCCAGTCAAATCGTATCTTGTTTAACTTTCAGATATCATATCTATTTAATTTAATAAATAAATAAATAAATAATAAAACTAAAAGTGAGTTCCGAATCGTTGGCCCGTGTATGTCGCAGTCCCCCAGTCCCACCTATAGGGGGTTGACGTGTGGAGCTCTAATTTTCTTTTTTAAATTTAAAATAAACTTCTATATTGCATTTTAGTCCTTCAACCCTTCTTTTTCTGTCTTCGCGCCTTCCAGCTGCTTTTTTTTTTTTTTTGAATTTCGATATTTGTTTTCTTTATTTAGGTTTAAGTTTTGTTAGATTTAGATATTATAGGAATTGTTATCTGTGCTAAATTTGATATTTCGATTTGATACTTTTAGTTTTGGATATTTGAGATTTTGTTGGATATTTAATTTTTTAGTGTAAAAATATTACATATATATATAATTATGTTAATTTGTCCAATTTTGTCGCTTTCCTATATTAGAATGGATCATATGCTAAAATAAATATTTAAGTTTGATTATAATATCCTCCCTCACTTCCAAACAAGGTTCAACATTTAATTTTCGCACCAATTTTTAGATGATGTGATGAAGAGAGAAATATATATTTTATTTTTTTATTTGAATGATGTGAGAGAATAAAGTGTGGAGTGAAAGATTAAATATAATTAATTATTTCCTATTTTGAAAATGTTGCAGGATATTTGGGATATATAAAAAAAAAATGTTACAAGGTGTTTGGGATAGAGAGAGTAATTATTATAAAAGATAATACTACTTTGTCAAGTTATAAGGATCTCATTTAATATTTTTTGTCCTGATCTTTAAATATTAATTATTATATAAAAATATTAGTACAAAATAAAAAAAAATTGCAAAAATACTTCTATTGATATTTTGTGATACTAATAGAAAAATATTTTTTTAAAAAAATTATACAAACATAAACATATTTTTAATAAAAATATATCAACATTAGCTCCCAAAATTAAGAGGTTTGTTCCATAATTGGATATAACATACTTTAATTACCTTAATTTGTCTATATACCAAAATACAAAATATAATAAAATAATTATATATCAAAATTAAACAAAAATTATTATATTTATATTTAAAAATATAACAACATTGAACAGGTCATATTGAAGCACAACCAATCGAATCTAGCTAAAAAAAATGTAACCATAAAATTCAATATATCTGTGTTAATGTGAATATTTATATAAGACTTTAATTAATTCAGTATTGATATCTTCGCTTATTTGTTAGACAATATCACATGACTTATTTTTAATAATTACTGTTACTTTTATCGACAATAAAAATATAAACACCGAGACGCAACGGATTAGCTAGGCACGCCTATATTCGTCGCCACAATCACCTATAGATTTGATGAGATTCGCACCTTTCCGTGAAACTTGCAAAATACTGTTTTTATCATCTTCGTCGAGAGCAAGGGAGAAGATCGACTCGGTGTCTTTTATGTGCTCCGAGAGGCCGAGCCTAACACCGATCATTGATCCCGCCACAGCTTGCTGCACAGACAGGAGACTCATTAAAATTAATATATCGGAAAAATATAACGTGGCTTAAAAAGTTTCAAAAACATTAGACAATATATAAGGGATTTTGTCCTATACAATATTTTCAAAAATCATACGAGTTTCTTGTAATTTTTAGAAAGTTATATGCAATGTTCTCTAAATAAAACACAGTTTATAAATCAAGAGAGAGTAGAGGTGTCAAAATTAAACTCGATCCGAAAAACTGATTCATTCGACCTGAAAACTTTCAAGTTTGAATTTGGGTATTTCGGATTTGCAAAAAATCGAGTCGACCAAAACTGAAACGAAAAAAATTTGTGTAGTGTTCGGGTCGAGTTTCGGGTTGATATGATAATCCGAAATATAAAAATCAGGTCGGGTTTCAAGTTGACCTGAAATTATTATTATTATTAATTTAATTTATAATATTTATATTAGTTTAAATATAAAATAATGTAAAAAATTAAATAAAAATGAATTATTTTTAGGTTAATTTAATTTTTTTTTTAATTTTCGTGTCGGTTTTGTTCAAGTTTCGGGTGACCTGAAACTAAATCAGGTCAATCTGAATTCGACCTGAGAGAATTCATGTCGTGTTCGGGTTGAGGATTTCAGGTCAGATTTTGGGTTTTGGTCGGGTTCAGATTGATAGGTTTTTTATTACCCCATGGCTCAACCCGATACGAACATGACCTGAAAACAGGAATTGACACCCCGACAAGATAGTAGACTTTCTAAACTAATGTTGATTACAAGCAATTTTGCCAAAAAAAATTAACACAAGTGTATTTGATCGATGGAAACTAACCTGATCCAAAATGAATCTCACGGCAACTGTAGGGATAGAGACGCTATGTTTTGATGCTACCGACTTTAGTGTTCTCAACAATTCTTGGAAAAGACTCCATCCTCCCCAGGCATTGATCATCTGACATTTTTTTCATTTAAAACATCGCATTCAATGCTTATTAATTCAGAATACAAACAAACAAAGACTGTTTGGCAATCTGGGCACAATGTATGAAGAAAATTCAAGAATTATAGGATTGCACAGCTGGGAAGGTTACCCTTTTGTACTTCTGTAACGAAGGAGTGTTCATTGGAGGGCCGGCGAAAGGGACGGTTAAATTGACATCGAGGAACTTTTCAGACAGTAGTCCACCCATTACTGTACCATACCTGCAAACAATATGTAGTGATACGAACAATTATTAATGAACATGGTAAAACATGATATTTTTTCAAATTGTGCGCGAGATAGAGACGTTATAAGTTTAACTCCGGTGAGCTGACAAAGGTCAGCCATTCGCTGTTGAGGGCGCATGTCTACAATTGAGTGTTGTACCTGAAGAAATGGAAGTTTTGTGTCATACCAAAAGTTTTGAGAGGTAATGAGAAAGAAAATTCCCTTTTACCTGATTGCTGACAACTGGAATCCCATTCTCGAGGATCTTCTGCAATCTCTCAGTGTCGAAGTTAGTCAGCGCAATCGTCTTGATCTTACCTGCAGGACAGATTGCCAAAGTAGTCGAGCCTAAGCAAGAAATAGGATTTCAGCTATAATAAACTCGGAGAAAACTTAATGCAGACGGACCTTCTTCTTTCAAATCTGTAAGGTGTTTAAGTGCATCAAGGTATCCCAGATTTGAATAATCCCACCTGATCAATACATCGTGTAACAGAATTAAGTGAAATCAAAATAAAAAATATACATACAAAAGACAAGAATTTAATGATCCAGTTCGGCCGGAAGACAAACCAAGTATTTTCACTAGTATGTTTTAATCTTAGTGTAATGGAATGAAGTGAAATCAAAATAAAAAATGCACACAAAAAACGAGAATTTGGTAATCCAGTTTGGAGATTCAATATCTGGGAGACAAGCCAAGTATTTTCACTAGTATCTTTTAATTTTAATTTCACAAAAAGCACAACAAGTATATATAGGCAATAAAGTAAAACATCAGTAAGCCGCAACAAAAAACTGTATGGACAAGTTTAAAAAAAATTTCGGAGCAAACTTACCACCAAGATCGAATAGCAAAATAGAACTTGGATATGCGATATTTTTGTAGGCTTTAGCTTTTTGCTCATAAATAACAACCATAGCAGAAAAATTCGCTATAGAATTCCTCAAGGGGACAAAATACAAAACTACAGAGTAGAGTTGAGCTAACTTATACAGTCTTGTGTTACGCTTGCGACATAAACAATACATGCTTGTAAAATCAAATTTATCACCATTCCATCGTGATTAAATGTGTAAGGAAAGAGGAAACAAGTAATCGCATTACCAATGAAATTGCAGCATGTCCAAACAAGAAACATCCATTCTCTTCCTCGACACGTTGATGCTATCCCGAACAAAGCTACTGGTCATCTTGACAGGCGGCGGCACCCATTTAGTGAGGCTGCAATTGCGAAAAGAAATACCACACCAAATAAATTTCACGGACAGGGACTTCGTTGTGCCTAAAATATACCAAAATCAGAAGCATCTTAGTACTCTTTACCCCCTAACATCTTCCAAATACTCCGGGGGACGCTCTCTTCGTACTCTATTAATGAAAATACCATAAAGGTCTTCCGCAGGTCCATCTATTCAACAAATGAGGCCATAAGAAACACAACATAAACATCGAATACACAATCCTACATTAGCTTAAAACCAGTTCCAATTATCAGCAGCTGAAATTTAATCGAACACAAAACAATCAAACAATATGTATATAGATATATAGAAGTTTACATATATCAGCCATATCAAGTATCGAACAGAGTACACAATCCTACATTATCTCAAAACCAGTTCCAATTATCAGCAGCTGAAATTTAATCGAAGATGAAACAATCAAAGAATAGTATATAGATTACATATATCAGCCATATCAAAAGTGTTCAGTCCAGCATCAGCATATCGAAGCATGGCATCGACTGCATTATCCCTGTCGATCCTACCCCACCCGCCACTCGTCTGCCACATCCCATTCACCACTCTGCAAATATCCAGTGAATCCTTCTCATTCTTAAGCTCAATTCTCTGCTTATCGTCGGTTAACAAGCAAACAAATGATCTTCCCACCACTTTCCTTTTTCCAAATACACTTCTACACTTATCAGCCCTGCTTTTGGTTGAAATGAATGTAAACTGACAGTATGAGGTACAAATGTTAACCGCCATTAGCAGATTGGGGGTGGAAACCCTAATTTTCGGAATTGGATTTTATCAAATTTATCCTATCCGCTATCGCATTGCTCGTCGATGCTTTGTTCTCCGCCATAGGTTTCTCTACTCTTACGAAATGACAATTTTGCCCAAATTGATTTTGCACGAATATAACCATCTTCTTCTTCAAATAATTAGGGCAGATAAGCAAAGAAACACTTACAGTGATCCGCCATGTCGAAGGTTGAGAGGCCGGCGTCGGCGTACCGAATCATGGCCTCTACGGCGTCGTTTCGGTCGATTCTGCCCCATCCGCCGCTGGTCTGCCACATTCCGTTGAGCACTCTGCATATCTCCAGCGAATCGCTCCCATTCTTCACCACTGCCTTCTTCTTCTCTGCCAACTCAACCGCCGTCTCACAGCACCGGACCACTCCGTGGTTCGCCCTCGTCGACCACCGGAATCCGCCGGGCGGGGAAGAATGGGAGAAATTGTGCAGGAAGTGGTTCACTGCTAAAGCAGTAGCTGCCATTCCTTGGTTGAAAATTGAAATTGGGAGCGGAAATGGATATGATACGGATTAATAGTACTACTAAACAAACAATTCTTCGCTTATGTTTTTGGATTTGTGATTTTTTTTTTTTTTTTTTTCCTAAATAATTTGGGAATTTATTAGAATATTTTTTGATTGAATTTAATATTCTATCAACAAAACAAGTTAGAGTATGCTAACTATATAATATACTCTCTCTCAGCTTAATAAGTTTTATATTTATTTTTTTTTGTCTGTACTTAATATTAAAAATATCGTTATATTTATATAATTAAAAATCTATTTGTTAGTATCATAAGACATTAATACAAATATTTTTATCGATTTTTTTAATTTCTACTATATTTTAATATAATAATTAATATTTAAAAACCAACATATAACAAATATAAACCTTCAGAGTGGACAGAGAATATTGCTTATACCATAAGAACTTTGTCAATAGAATCTCATAACACTATAATATGACTTGCAAATGTATAGGCTATAGCTAGTGATGTGGGGATTTTCTATTTATCATATACTAAAGTCTATTTACCAAAAGTGCACATAGTGACTTTAGGCCAATACTACATATATTTAATCTAAATTTTATAGAATTCGATTGAATTCTTAAAAATTAAATATATCCAATTCACATTTATTCAATTTAAACTTTTTATAATCAACTAAATTAAATAGTGATTAAATCGCACATGATAATTATAAAAAGAAGAATCGAAGAGGAAGAAGGACATTGTGGTATTCAGTCTAACAAATTACAAAAAATTAACAAATTATAAATTCTCAAACAATTAAAAAGAAATTTAACAATACAATTGGTGGATTGATGATTTCGATTTACCGAAAAGTCAAACCAAAACCTAATCTTGTAAGTCACAATTTTGGTTTGTATTTGCTAATTTCGATTTTGATTCTCACGGTTCTGATTTAAAAACTTCCAATTTCGATTTTAGCTATTAATTTATATTTATTAATATTATAATTTTTTATTTTCTAATTTTTAAATTATAATTTGTTCAAAAACTGCAAATTTTGAATTTGATTTATTTAGCTAAAAATTCCGATCAAAAAATTATACTCCATAAAATATTTAACTAAAAAAAAGAATTACTATCAAACATAATTCTCATAAAAAATGATAAAAAATAATCAAATACTCATAAAATAAATTTTTAAGATACGTTGTTGTTGTTGTTTTTCTTTTTATATTTTTAAAAATATATCAATTTATATGTTATCTACACTACATAAATTTATATTTTAATTTATATAATGCGTTATTTTTTAAAATATATAATTTATATAATGTGTTAATTTTTAAAATATATCTCAAACAATTAAAATATATAATTTATATTTTTAATTTATATAATGTGTTATTTTAATTGTCTGAGAATTTATATTTTTAAGAATTTATATTTATCTAATAACATATATTTACAATAGAGGGGTCTAAGATAGCGGAATAAAATTTTCATGTAGTATATATTGATATAAATAATCTCACAGCATGTCACAATAATCCTAATGATCCCTCCTATATGCATGGAGTGACATGTGAAATTCTTATTACATATAAGTAATTTAAAATGTGTGTCATAATAGAATAAGTTGTGTAATGACCAAACAAAACCTCTACTTGAGTATATTTATAGGTTTGTACAATATGAATTCAATTGCTCTCCAATTTTCAAACTTTATTATTCCATTTTGATATTTTTCAATGCACGATTTCTCTCGGATTCTGAAACTTGATCGATTGAAAGTTTTAGAATTGCGAGTATTGATGTATGGGCATCAATGTCATACTCCTCCCCTGCGCGCGCACACACATATATAGTAGAGGTAATTGTGTTGATTATTGGTTATGAGAAATCAATATAGTGTTGATTTTTCGAGTCAACACATCATAAAAATGCATACAATACATTGTTTCAATTAAAAGAATACATGATGTATTAGTTGAAATTATGTGTTGATTGGTCTATATATATATATGATGTATTGTAAAAATATGAAATCAACGAGAGTATGTATTGTATTATTAATTATCATATGTTGTCGATTCATATGTTGCATTTATATTAGAATTAATATAAATAATGTAAAACTTTTTCTTTTTAAATCAAAGAGGTAACCGCAATATATCTTATATATGTACTATATAATAGTATTCCTTGCACTACTTTTCTTATTATGTTTCTTATTATATTTTTTCAACTTTTTTTATTATTGGACTTATTATCTATATTCAAAATATATAGGTTCTAAATAAAAAAAATATGCAATAAGTTATGATTATTCTTTTTGTAATATTGATGTTAAAATAACACATTAAACATATGAAAGATAGATGATATCTTTTTCAACTAATCATTCTCGCTTATATTTCTCTTAAGGTGAGAAAATCTTTTGTAACAAGTAATTTTTAGTTATATTTTCTTCAAAGTATTTCATTTGAAATGCTATACAGTGTATAGTGGAAATATACTCAATAATAATTTTAAAATATTAAAAAACATTTTAAGTCAATCGGGTTATATATTTGAGAAAGTAAAATATTTTAGATGCTCACATGGCCTCTTTAATTTGTACCACAATTCAAATTAATTTTTCAACATAAAAAATTCAGAATATGAGATAATATCTAAATAATAATTGATGAAATTTATAACTCTTATTGGATCTTGACTCTTATCACTGATAACAGTAGAACAAAATCTATAAATCATATTAAATAATAATTTCCAATGATTTTAAAATTCTAAAAAGTTATTTTGGTATATATATATTTTTTATAAATATAGAAAATAGAAATACTAAAAAAAAAATAAAAAAATCTTATAGGACAATATCTCTAGTGATTCACATTAATGCAATATAGGTAACAATTGTTGGAATTTATCATGCCTTAAAACCCTTAGTCAAAATCTATCATTTTGAAATAGTTGAGATGATGAAGCAAATAAAACTAATAGAATTCCATAATCGTAATAAAATTCGGATCTACGAAATGATTGAGGGTATTGTGTTCTTTAAACCTATAATGCAACACCTCCTGAAAAAACCTAATAAATTATGTCATTGATTCTGTATCTACTCACTGTATGTCGCTTGAAGAGAGCTTGTAGCCATCCATCGCAATTTATGATTTTTTTTTTTCTCACGATTAATAAGCTTGTTCTCTTTAACATAATCGTTGACAATGGTAGCCACGTCATGCTATGACAATTTCTCATCGGTATTTTTACCAATTGTTGTAAGGAACTTGAAAAGTGTTTTCAAAACCCATTCAACAAACTGTATTTTACATGATTTCGCAGCTGCTTTCGTAGCAATCCGATTCTCAAATTTAGTCCATTCTATGTTGTTTCTTCTCAAGCTCCGAATCATCATCATCCCCGTCATAGTTAGTTGCCACGGCTTCAACAGAGTAATCCGAAACATTTCCAGATCGACGATTCTTTTTTACCTTGACTCCGCTTGGTGCGGAATAAACATCATCTGCATCAAATCATTCTTCCGTTTTAACAATATCGTAATATTCCTTGTGTAGACCCTCGTATGTCTCCCGGTCACTGAAATCAACACTTTTCCCATCAGAGTCGACATCATGATTGTCTTCAATAAGAAAAACATGCCTTAAGCATAGAGTGCAAAATTCATATTTCCCTTTAACTTTCGAAAAATCTGAACAAGATGACAACAATGGCACATAGAATTTGAGCGGGTTTAACAATGAAAGGCAGCAGCTTAGCTGCACTTTGAGCAAGTATACAAATCGCATACCCAATGTTATTCACTTTCCAAAAATGGATCATCTTTACTCACACATTTTGGATGATAAGATTTTACACAATCCTTGTAATCACATATGCGAAGATCGCCGTCGTCTTTGAAAACAAAGCACCAATTTTCTATTTTTTCCTCGTTAATCATCACATTTTACTTCCCTTTTTTTTTCGCCGTTGTACCATAAACTTTGCCCTTCTTCTTTCTCACTCTTAATCTGAAAAATAAAAAATAAAAAAATCACATACACACAAACCTCTTTTTTTAGAAACACGAGTAAAATCAAGAGGGGATTCAAACTGAAACCCAATGGATGAATTGAACAATTTATTATCGAACAATGATTTTAAAATTGAGCACTACATAAATTTTTATTTTATATATTCATGTTCAGTGGATCAGTATTTTTTATTATTGTGACCTAAACCCTAATGGATGAATTAAATCTTATAAGCTTAAATTGACAATAAATACAAATAAAATTATACGGGTTAAGTTAAGTTGAAGAAATATACTAACGCAACAATAAAATCACATCGAAAAGAATGTTAGTGGCGTTTGTACATTTTAAGAAAGAAAAATATACTTTTCAAAACAAAAATTTGTACGTTTTCAAATAATTTTTTGTAGAACAATCACTGCCTTCACAATGTATTTAAAATATTTAATTTTTACCTTATACAAACTTTATTCGCTCGAGACTAATATTTTTTATAAATATTTGCATTTTGTTTCAAGGGTTCTTGTTATATTTTTAGAAGAATATTATTATTATTATTATTAGTATTAGTATTAGTATCAAATCATACTGTTTACAATCGAGCAATGATTTTAAGATTAAGCACTAAATAAATTTTCACTTTAAATATATTTATGTTTACTTGATCATGTCTTTTACTATGGTAACTTTAACGTCAATGGATAAATGAAACTTAATAAGTTTAAATCGACAATAAATGCAACTAAAATTACATGGGTTAGGTCGAGTTGAAAAGAATACACTAACACAACAATAAAATTGCGCCGAAAGAGGTTTTGGTGTCGTTGGTACTTTTTAAAAGAGAAAAATATACTTTACAAATATTTGTATTTTTTCAATTTATCTTTAACTAATTTTTTGTAGAGTAACAATTACCTTTACAAGGTGTTTGAAATACTTATTTTTTTGCTTTAAACAAATTTTGTTCGGTCGAGACTAATAACTTTTTATAAATATTCTGCATTTTGTTTCAAGGGTTGATAGTTGTTATTTTTTAAATTTTTTTTTTTTATATTATTATTGTATCGAATCAAACGATTTATTGTTGAGCGATTGTTTAATGATTAAGCATTACACAATTTTTTACTTCAAATATATTCATGTTTATTACATCATTATTTTTTGCTGTTGTAATCTAAACTCTAATTGATGAATTAAATCTTGTAAGCTTAAATCGACAATAAATGTAAATAAATTTACACAAATTGGGTTGAGTTGAAAAACGATACTAACACAACAATAAAATTACGTCGAAAGGAGTTTTGGTGTCATTTGTACTTTGCAAGGGATAAAAATATACTTTTTAAGACAAAGATTTATACATTTCTAATTCATCTTGTAGAAAAACAAGTACTTTTACATGATGTTTGTAAATTATATTTGAATTTTGAGTATTTTAATTTAAAAGAATATTTTAAGCATTCATGTAGAAAATTACGATACAATTTAATATACATATATATTATTTTTATTCTTATTATGTATGTCTTTTTTTTATTTGTTCAATCTTTTTTTAAAGTTCTCACAATATATGTATTTTTTTTCTAAAAGATTTGATTTTGAATATTATATTCTAATATATTTGTGTAGATTATATCCAAATTTTAAGTATTTTGATTTGAAAAAAAGTTTAAGAAATTCACACAAAAATTATATTTAATATATAAAATTTTTATTTTTGTAATTTTATTTTTATGTATTTTTAATTGATTATTATATTTTAATATTCAGTTTGTATGTTCATTTCTTATATAATTTATGAAGAAAATAAGCATGTTTTTTTGTGGATAGAATGAGTATTTATTTTTTTTCAACTTTGTAGACTATGTTAAAATTTTGTGTCTTTAGGAATATCTGAAAAATTTATATGTAAAATTAAAATAAGTTTTAATATATAAAAATTTATTTTTTATTTTAATATTTTTATTTTATTGTGTATATATATTTTTTAATTATCTATTGTAATATTCTTATTTTCTACTAATCAATTCTTATATATTTTCTTATTGATTTTTTTTTTAGCATTATATCCTAATTATTTTTTTTAAAACAATTCTGTACATTATGTTTAAATTATGAATATTTTGATATGAGAATATTTGAAAATTTATAAAGAAAAGTATAATAAATTTTAATATACATGAATATTTTATTTTTATTTTAATATATTCACTTTGATTGTGTATGTATTTTTAATTATTTATTTATTATATTATATTTTATTTTATTAATCACTTTTTTATTCTTATTGTATACGTACTTTTTCAAATTGATTTGATTTTTAGTATAATATTTAATACATTTTTTAATTTTATAGATTATGTTCGAATTTCGAATCTTTTGATTTAAAATTTCTTTTTGAAATTCATAAAAAATATTATGATAAATTGTAACGAATATTATGATAAATTGTAATATATAAAAACTTTATTTTTATTGCAGTAGTTTCATTCTTATTGTGTATGTTATTTTAATTATCTATTATGTTAATTTTATTTTTTCTACAAATTTTGTTTTTTAAAAATTTTTATTTTGTATTCTTTTTTTCAATTTGTTTTAATTCGAGTAATATATTATATATATATAAATTATAAGTTTTATTTATTAAAAAATATTAAATCAAGATATAATGTAACATATAAAAAACCGTATATAGTATGAGTTACATGCTATTATTAAATATATGTTAATAAATTTAATTGATCATATTTTAAGTTTAATTTGACTGATCGTTCAAGTAATTTACAATTAATCCATAATTAAAATTTTAATGCAACAACATTGAGCTCGGTTTGTTTAGAGAGGTTTGATTTGAATTATTTTGTAAATATTAAACATTTTATTGTAAAAGAGGTGTTTGAATGGAATTGTTTTAAATAAATCTTGAAAGTGATCGTTTTTGTAAAATATACTATTGAATAAAATAATTTTAATGAAATAGTTGTCCCAATTGCTGATAGAAAATTTAATTTAATTAATTTATATAAAAATAAAATTTAATAATATTTACACCGTTTATTGTTGACTTATAAGAGATGTTTGACGGTTTTTATTTTAAGAGTTTTTAGCTTATTAAACAGCTTTTAGTAATTAGTTTGGTAAATTAAATTTTTCTAATAACTTTTTGGATAAAAAAAACTAATTTCTAAAAAGCTAACATACCCAACATTTTGAAATAAATTTTTAATTTAAATTTTTTTATTTCTTATATGCCCTTAAATTTTTTCAATAAAAATATATTATTTTTTAAATCTAAATACAATAACAATAAATACTATTTTATAACATTTTTATAATTTTTAATAACTAATAACAAAAAATTTCAAATATTCTAAACTGAAAAGAATACAATCGAATATATTAAAAAAAAATAAAATAGAATCAAACAACTAAGATCAAACAGTTGTTTTATCAAACATTTTAATACAGGCACCTAATCGAATCAGCTAGTCAAACTAACTAATTGAATCAGTTAACAACTATCAGCTAATTAAAATAGCTAACAGCTATCAGCTAATTGCCACACGCTAACCACAGTGTGATTTGTTTTCTCAATCCACAGATTTTCCAAACGCTCCATACGCCAGTGTCATCAAATCAAATCCTGCCCACAATTCACCATTTAATCGAGACCGTACATTACGTTGAACCCATAAAATAAACGGCCTTGATTCAATCCGGATCGGGAGTTCGGGATCCATCATCATACGCGTTCACCTGTGCAATAACTAATCCTCTCTCTCTCGAACAACGACCGGCAAACCGCCACGAACCGTGGCGGTCAGACCGGGGACGAACCGCGGACCGCCCTGACTCGGCAGCGAACCCACCTCAAAATCGAACCGCCGGATTAATGACAGCGCGACGGCTTTTATCTCCACAATCGCCATTTCCTTCCCCAAACACACTCTCGGCCCCGCTTGAAACACCGGGTACCTGTACGGACACTCCTGCCGGAATATTCCATCCTTGATCCATCTCTCTGGCCGGAATTCCGTACAGTCCGGCCCCCATATCGCCGCCATCCTCCCCATCGCGTAGGGGTGGTACGTCACCCTCGTCCCGCCGGCGACCGGCGTCCCGTCGGGGAGGACGTCGCCGGACCGGCAGAATTTTGAGTCCAATTGAACCGGCGGGAATAATCGCATGCTCTCGTGGACCGCCGCTTGCAGGTAATGCATTTCTCTAAGCTGTCGGAAGTTCAAATTTTCCGATTGGCGGCCCCCGCCGTCGCCGATTACCTTGTCGGATTCTTCCCGGATTAATTTGGTGACACGTGGATTTTGGCTAAGCAGCCAGAAAAGGCTGGTGAGGGCGGCGGCCACCGTGTCGCGACCGGCGAGGAGGAAACTGACGACGATGTCGCGGAGGAAGACGTCGTCGGCGGTCGTCGACATGAACCGGGACAGGAGGTCTCCGTTGGATGCTGACGTGGCGCCGTCGCCGGCGCCGGCGAGGTTGTCTCTTCTATTTCTGATGACTCTTTCTGCTAGCTCGTGGACCGATCGGATTGCTCGCCGGAGATTCTTCTCCGATCCGACGTTAAGGAATCTTTTAACTTTCCAGACCACCGGGGACGTCACCACCGCCCTTTCCGCCGACAATTTGGAGGCGGCGTCGAAAGCGGCGGCAAATTCCGACACCGGGAGTGTCGGAGTCAGACAGCCTGGATCAAATCCGAAGGAGAATTTACAGATACTGTCGAACGAAAACCGCCTGAAAATATCCTGCAAATCGACAGTCCGGCCGGCGGCGGCGGCGGCTGACATTATAGGAACAAGCCTTGTCTGAATTTCAGATTCGACGACGTCGTAAGCGTAGGATCGAATCGAATTGCTGCCGAGTTCAAGACACGCCATTTTTCTCTGAAACTTCCAGAGGTCTCCGTCGACGTTGAAAATCCCAAACCCTAAAAGGTCACCCAAAATTGCAGAAAAGGGCTTACCTTTTGGGTAATTATTAAAATTGGTCCTCAGAATGTATTCAACGTTGTCTGGATTGGCGGTGATGACATTGCCGAGGACATGAACGTGGATTGTGCCGGTCGGCGATTGGGCGAGAAGGTGGGAGTACCAGTCGCATAGATTGTTGTACTTGAGGGCCCAGGAGGCGGTGAGGAAACCCTGGCAGACATGGCAGCCACACCATGGCTGAAACTTGAATTTTCTTACAAAGAGGAGAATGAGTGTCAGAGAGACAGTGAAGAAGATGAAGTGACTATACGGTATCAGCCATGTCGCAAAAGCTGAAATTGCCGCCATTGTTATTGGTTAATTTTTGCAGAGAAATTTTCAGACAGGTTTTGTTTGTGGATGAGGGAATTAACTTCGATATTGCGACATATATATATATATATAGTGTGTATATATAGGCACGTGTGGTTTTAATTAATGAGATATTATAGTGAACTGGAATTTAATCACGTGAGGCAATCAGGCTAAATGCGCAGATAAAACGCGTGCAAATATTTGTTATAGACGAAGATAGCTTAGCCAGATAATCACAATCAAGCGGGATTTGCTCGTGTCTAAAAACTGTATGTTGGGAAAATTTTATTATTTAATAATTTATAATTTAATTATTTATATATAATTAAAATAAATTTAAAACATATGTTTGTAAAAGAAAAAGTAAAAATATATATGTCATAATGTTTTATTACTCTCTCTTCCATAAGTAAATATTTATTTACTTTTTGCTTGATATTTGAATATTATTTATTAATCAAAATATATTTAAAAAAAAACACAAAAATACACTTGTATAAAAAATTATACAGAATATTTTTAATGTTAAATAAAATAATTCAAATAGCAAATAAATATATTTTTATGAGACGGATGGAGTATTATTATTATTATTATTAATACCGTGGAAACCTATATATACCATGAAGCCCACCAATATTTTTAATTTATATAAAACTTTAAAATAACAATATTTTTAATTTGACTAAAAGGCCAACCTTAATATTTGCAGGTATAATTTATTAAGTATGTGACCTCGTACTAGGAAGTAATAGATCGATATTCACATCAATATACTCTTCAATGATATTAACTATTCGTTTGGTTTTAGTTTCGAACCAAAATCACTACTTTTCAATCTACATCATTTTTAATAAAAATATACTCTCTCCGTCCCAATACAATAGTCCTGCTTACCATTTTTGTCCGTCTCAAAACAATAGTCTCATTTTTATAAATAATCATATCACTATAAAACTACCCTTACTTTTTCATTATTATTACACAATTGCCACTATTTTTTACACTAATACAGTCACAAGGGCAAAAAAGTCTTTTATCCGTACTTTTTACCAACTACCAAGATAATATCAATATTCCTTAAATCCTGTGTCAAACACAACCCAGACTATAGTTCTGGGACGAGGGGAGTATTAAATTTCATCCGTCCGCCTCGAAGGGCCACATTTACCTTTTACATTGTTATACTTAACATTAAAAATATCTTTATATTTGTATAAGTTTTTGTACAAATGTTCTCGTATTAATATTATAAGATACTAATGAAAGTATTTTTGCAATTTTTCTTAATGTGTACTAAGTTTTGATATAGTAATTAATATTTAAATATCAACACTCAAAAAGTAAATGAGACCTTAGAGCAGGATGAATATAGTATTTTTTATAAAAAAATATACATCAAAATAAAATTCAAATAAACCCTCATTGTCCCATAATTGTCATTTTAATCTAATCAAATTCCAAAAGCATTCAAAATCCAAAACCATATTCACAAGACAAAAGAAATTTATGGATATGTTTGTTTGTAGATTTGAAAGTTGAATCTAAATAGTAACCTTTTTCAAACCTGCTCTCGTTTCGAGTCAAGAGATAGATAAATAGACACATCCCATTGCACTGATCGGGGGCGTTCGTAGTGACTGAGGGGGTCGAAGACCAAGAAGTGAGTTATTTATACCAAACATTCTTCTTACGGCTAGATCCAATCTCCTGGTCCCTGCGGAAAGGAAAAAGAATTTCTCGCTCTTCCTTTCAGAAAGGGAGAAATCCTATTGATTGCATTTTTAAATTGAAAATATTATTTTTTGTGAGATAAATAAATAACGATGTGATATTTTAAATTTAAAATCAAAACATAGTTTAATATGAAATGGTCAAGAAATAAATATTTAATTTGATATTTTTAAATAAAATTTGTATGAATATTAAAAAATTTGTTTAGTTTTTGAATTTATACGATTATGTAGTTTGAGTTTATGTAACAATGATTTGAGAATGACATTTTATTAAAAAATAATGCTTATATATTTTTATTAAAACGGTCATATAAAATAAGTATTGAGAATATTCAATATTTTAAAAGTCACTTTTTATCCTTTGTGTTCCATTTTTAAAATTAAATAATAATAATAATAATAAATAAAATTATCCAATTAAAAAAAAAAGGCACTCCCAAAATATCATTTGTGTTCCATTTGGGTTGCAGCCGAAGTGAAAGCGTGTGGCAATTGTCTGATTGCGACATCTCTTATCTGGCAAAAGGGCAAGTGTTAAAAGCGTGTTTATTTGTTACGTCGACAGCCGTACAATGTTCAAATTGGAGGCGGATATGGTTTAATTATTTGCAAATATATATTACTTTCGGCTCTAAACGTCTCATTTATTTTTTTAAGTATTTTTTAAGTATTGATATTTAAATATTAATTATTACATCAAAAGATAGTACAAATTAAAAAAAAATTGTAAAAATACTTTCATTAGTGTTTTATAAAAATATTTTTAATGTTAAGTACAATGACGCAAAAGGTAAATGTGACCTTAGAGCCAGATGTAGGAAGTATATTGTTAAACGACTTGTTACATGAAATAAACTGTTAGGGTACGCATTATTTATTTATTTTCATACCATATTAAATGAAATAAAATATCATGTTACCTAAAAATTTAAACTGTTAGAATATGCATAATTTATTTATTTATCTACAAATATGAGTCAACCAATATGACTATTATGGTATCGAATTCGGAATGTCTCGTGTTCAAGTTATACCGTTTTCATTGGTTGCTGTTTACGTATAAAATCTGTCTATTATATTAAATGATCATTTCATTTGAAATGAATAAATGATTATACTTTTTCTTGATCATTTTTTTATTTAAATTTGTTAATCTCTAAATTATTTGATGAATGTTTTGAAGATTACCAAATAAATACAAAATTATTAAATTTCGTAAAAAAATAAATAAATCTATACTTATAAAATAGAGGGAGATAGTATATTTTTATTCATGAAAATGACATCTAATACACGTACAATTAGTATATATATGGCTGACAAAAAATAAATACAAATCAAAAATTAATTCAAACATAACACCAAAAATAAAAATTTGGGCCTAAAAATTAGACACCGAATTTTTTTTTGGTCTCGGCCAACCCAACACAATTGAAAAATCAGATTGTGTTTGGACTTGTATAAATCATATCGGGTTAGACTTGACCTGATTTACAATTGAAATATATATAATTTAGAATGTGATATTTTGTTTATAAAATAAATGTTTAATATAATCTTTTAAGTAAAAGTATATGCATTTGATGTAGTATTTTAAAATATATATTGTTGTCAAAAAAATTTAAAATTTTTACATAAACGGAACATAAATTTGAATTTAACATATATTACTATATATCTATACTTGTACTATTTATTTATAAATATATTATTTCATTCGTCTCATATATAATTAGACCTGTCAAAACGGGTTAATGGGGCGGATTGACCCACAACCCACCATAACTCGTAAATAGACGGGTTGTTTGTGGGCCAACCCGCGGCGAGGCGGATCAAAATTTCATTAATCCAACCCAACACATCGGCGGATGACGAGCTAAGCGGGCTAGCCCACAGGCTTTTTTAAAATAATAATATTATAAATATTTTTGTAATTAATATTTAAAAATATCTAAAAATAATTATATTATAGAATCTAAATAATAAATATTTTAAAATAAATAAAAAAATATAATTTTTTTTTTAATTCTAAATAGTAGTATTAGTTAGTGTGTTTAGAAAAATTAATAGTATTAAGAAATATTTTACAAACAAATCATAATTAATTTTATGAAATCGTAGATTCTAGAATAAAAAAATATTATAAAACAATAAAATGAAAGACGAACAAAACAAATGATAAAAAATAAAAATAAATAAAAGTGACATTGATAACAGAGTTAGAAAATAAAAGCAACGTGTAAATAATATTGATTAATTTATTTAAGTTAATTTTATTCTTCTTAACTAAAAATATTTCTTTTCAGTAGATTAAAAATAGTAATATATTATTTATTAAATAAAATGTACATGATGATTTTGATATATTTTTCTTTTTGTAAGTTATTTATAAATTAATTGTATTTATAATTGTATATTTGTAGTTTATATAAAATTAAAATATATTCTGATATTAATATTTGATTATTTTTATTATAATTTTTTAATATGACAGTAAAAAATAATTAAAAAAATATTTAGTTGATACGGGTGAATATTTACTTAGTCTGCGGGCTAACCCGCCCCATTGCGGGCTAACCCACTCTCAACCTACGGCCCACGTGGGTTGGTCCATTTAGGCTCGCATTTTAACGGGTTTACAAAATCACAACCCAACCCTCCTAAAAAGTAAGGCGGAACGGGCCAATCTGACGGGCTCGACCCATTTTGACAGCTTTACATATTATGTTATGGTTTCTATTGTTATCTATCTCATATTTTATGTTATATTTTTTTTTAGAAAAAAGATTACACACCCTGATTATATTTTAAACTTTTAAATTTATAATTTTTTAAAGTTTAATTATACTACTAAATTATTTTAATCTTAATTTATAATTATTTTTATTAATACAATATTAAATATTTATTGATTATATTATTCCTAAATTCTGTTATATTACCATTATCTTTTTCATAAATGTATGAATTGTTTTTATATACGTGAATACTACCGATTAATATTTAAATAATATTCTCTCTGTCTCAAACATTCTACAACATTGTTTTTGGGTATGTCCCAAACATCCTGTAATATTTCCAAAATAGGAAATAATTAATTATATTTAATCTCTACCCCATATTTTATCCCCTCACATCATCCAAATAAAAAAAAATATATATATTTCTCTCTCCATCACATAATTTAATTTTTAAATTATACTACTTAATACTACCCACCTAAAAACTCGTGCCAAAAGTAAATGTTGCACCTTATTTAGGATGGAGGGAGGGAATAATATTTTAAAATTTTCATGCCAAAAATGAACATCTATATTAGAGGTGGACAGAAAATAGTAATTTATTTATTTATTTCTAATATTTATACAATTGATTCTCTCTCTTCCACTTATATGTAATAAATTTAAAGAAGTAATAATACTATAACAATGAATATTATGAAAAAATCTAAAATACCATTGAATAAATAGTGTATTATCTGATCACATTTTGATAAATATTGATAAAAATAAAAGTGAATTGATAATTGAGTATGAACAATATAAATTATAAACAAAAATGAACTATTTAAATAGGATAATACATAATGACAAATAAAACAATATACGTGAGAGGACGAGAGTATTTACCATTTTTGTTCGTCTCAAAATAACAGTTTTATTTTTATAAATAATCATATCACCATAAAATTATCCCTATTTTTTTATTATTATTACACAATTGCCACTACTTTTTACACTAATATACTCATAAGGACAAAAAAATCGTTTATCCTTATTTTTTACCAACTATCAATATAATATCAATATTTCTTAAATCTCATATCCAAGAGAAGAAGACTATACTTTGGCACGGAGGGAGTATATTAGTTATAAATTTTATTATTTAATTAAAACATCTTATCGAAGTAATTATTACAGTATTTATTTAAAATATTATATTAGTAGCATTTTGTTTTGTTTTTATTAATTTTAAACAATTACAAAAAAGCTAATAAAAATCCTCAACAGTCAACTCAAACAAAGCATCGCTTAATTTGAGACACGTTTTAAATGAGAGCTGAATGGCGAATTTAAACAGTTTTGTGTTGAGCTGTTAATTTCAAATTTTCGATGTCGGCTTTTTATTTTAATGAAGTTAATTTACTTTTGGGTGCGTTCATTTATTTATTTATTTATTTTATTTTTTTATACGAGAAAATGTATTGATAATTTTAAAAATAACATTTATGTTTAATTATTAACTTTTTTAATGAATAATAATATATTCTCTTCCTCCCCTACTTATCTATTCATTTATTTTTTTTAACAAAATTTTAGAAATATTAGTATTATATTGAGTTGTAGTAGAAATAAAAGTAAAAAGATTAAACTATCATTATTAGTATTGTATGATATAAAGATAATGACATTTGTATAATATATCGTAAGTTGCAAGGGTGTAATGTTAGGCAGATAGTACAATTATTTTATAAAAAAAATGAATATTTTTTTATGAGACTGACCAAAATAAAAAAAATGAATAAATTGATAAGGAAGAGAGGGATTATATATTATATTAATATGTATATATATATATTATATTTTTATAATATTTATGAAAATTATATCACCCAATGTTTTGCTATTTTTATCTATTATTAAATAAAAGTATGTATTTTTTAAAAAAAATTAAGTGTAGACTCCATTATAATATAGTAAAAATTCTATTGTTTTTTTTTTTACACATCTTTAAAAAAAAAAGAAAAAAAAGACTAATATACTACACATATTTATTATTTTTATATTTTCTACACAATAATCTATACCTAACATAAAAAAAAAAAAAAAAATTCTATCCAACAATCTCCCAAAACAAGCATACTTATTTGTTTCAATATAATAACATCAAATTAAATTTAAGAACAAAATATTTTATTTGTAAAATGCACCCACTAAATAATAATATTTCTTAAATTACATATAAAAATTAAATGTGTATATTTCTAGTGGATTGATAGAGTTTAATAGTAAGATATACTCCTTCCTTCCGTCTATCATAAAAATATCCCTCTTATTATATATATGAAAATTTAAAAAAATTATAATTCTTAAATAATTAAATTTAAAAATATATTAGTAAAATAATACTACTCTGTCCGGTCAGAAAGAAAACATATGTTTTTGGACATTATATTTAACATTAAAAATATTTTTATATTTGTATAGTTTACTCCAAAAATATAATTGTATTTATATAATAAGAGACTAATAGATGTATTTTTATCATTTTTTCTTTATCTATATTACGCTTTGGTATAATAATTAATATTCAAAAGATTAACACAAAAAATCCCTGTATACTTTGTGGTTGGACGGAGGTAGTATTATAGTATAATATAAATAATTATAAATTAGATTAAGATAAGATAATTAAACAATTTAATTAAGTTAAAAAAATTATAATTTATAAAATTTAATATATTATTAAAGTGTATAATCATTTTTTTTATATAAAAAATAAATAAATCAAATGAGACCAATCAAAATATAAATTTAAATAAAAAGTTGTGTTAGCAAAAAATTATAAGATGAACGAACCAATAATTTTGTACGTGGTTTTCAAACATGTGATATATATGGTCGAATTGGTATAATGTAAAAAAAAAACCTCAATAAGAATATAAAGACAACACATGTTAAAACAATTATTGTCGTCGAAAGAAAAAAAAAAAAAAAAACATCAAATGACTTACAAATGTCAAAGAGATCGATGAAGCCAAGAAAGCTAAAGAAAGACGGGAAGAAATTAAATATCCGAATTCTACAAGTCCACATAATAGTTTCATAGTCGATCCCATCGACTAAAATACTTCTCTACAAGCCTTGGCCATAATATAAATTGTATCGAACGATTATTTATTTATTTTCAAATATGTTTTCAATCTATCGTTTGAAAGCATATTTGACAACTCCGGCAATGTGAGTATACATGAAATAATCATCCCAATCGATGCTTTTTGGATCGAAGTAGAACATTTCTGTTGTCTCGATATTACAACACTTCTCCATTGCAATCCTCAATCTTTCTGTGTTGGTGTCATCGAATCTGCATCAAAGAGGACAATCATCGATACATATATATACATATATGTGTGTGTGTTCATATATAATTCAACGAAAAATAATGTAGTAAAAGATACAATGCATAAAATATTTATTCGAGAAAGTTACTCACACTCCCTTGAAGAAGATGTAGGGACTAAACAAGTCTACGAGCCTTATCAAGAACTTGACCTTTCTAGAAAGATCGAGATATGTTCCTTGAAGATGTCGGCAACTCGCAAAGTTTAACATACTAAGAACCTGTAAAATTAAATATTATTATCGGAATCCCAAAATCAATTTTTTTAAATAATTAGTACCCTAAATTCAAATATCTTTTATAGTTTATGTTATGGTGCTAGGGGCTAATCAACAGTATACTTATACATTAGCCCTAATAGTATGTGAAAATATAACAAACAGTACATAAAAAATAGAATAGACAATACGTAGATATAAAATGTTAGTATATCATTTTTGCTATTTTTGTAAATCTCATTTTAAAGTATTTATTTTTTATTTTAATAAAAGTAAATATATTCTAATACCAAAATACTCTTAATTTTTACCTAAATTATGAATATATCATTACACATACAATTACTTTATACATAAAGTCAAAAGACAAAAATGTCAAAACTACTTACACATTTTCATAAACCAATAAAATATTACTCTCTCTCTCCGTTCGCCTCTAAGGGTCACATTTACCTTTTGCATAATTGTACTTAACATTAAAAATATCCTTATATTTATATCATTTTTTGTACAAATATCCTTCTATTAGTATTATAAGACACTAATTGAAGTATTTTGCAATTTTTTTTCTTAATTTGTATTACGTTTTGATATAATAATTAATATTTAAAGATCGACACGCAAAAAGTAAATGAGACCATTAGAACCGGACGAACATAGTATTATTTTTTAATCCGAAAGGACAAATGAGGAGGGAGTATTATTTATGTTGTCGGTATTGTGCTTGATTAAAGTTTATAACAACATTCTTTATATATATATATATATATAAATAGCACAATATATATCATATAACTATTTTTAATATCAAATTAAAAATTAACTTTAATTTAAAATTATATTGAACATATATTTATATCATAGTAAACAATTATTTTAGTTCAAATTAATGAATGATACCATCGTAAACAAACTAACCTTGAGAGGAATCAAGTAATGAAAGTTGATGTATCTTCGGACTGCATCGACGGTGGCCAATTCTTTGCCCTTACAAACCACGACGGGGTTCCCGTCCTTGTCCATCCATGGGTGCTCGGTGAAGAATCGCCAGCCGTACAACTGAAGCTGGCGATACTTCACCGGATTCGACATAGACGATCCCACGTGGTAGATCGTCGTCATGTCCGAAGCTTCCCTCGCCATTGCTACAATCATGGCATTCACAACCATGTCGACCGGAATCTGCAAAATTAAAAATTAGTACATTTAATATATTGGGTGAAATATAATATAGGCAAAATTGTTCATAATTTTCCAGTAGTTTTGAAACTCAACGTAAATCCTCGTGTACTTTAAGAATTGTATAACGCCCTCTTATACTTTAAAAAATATTGCAGGAAATTTTTTTTATATTTTTTATGTGTTAAAAAGATGATTTTCTATCTATATTTTGCATAGTAAGGGGTTTTATGTAGCATTTTTAAAAATATATTGAGTGTCATATAATTTTTAAATTATAGAAAGAATTTACACTAAATTTCAAAACCACGTGGAGTTATGAGCAATTTTGCTTATAAATATATAATGTAATAATTAATACTTTTTTTGTCCACAAACTAATATTCTATTTTTCTATTTAGGATATTCTTTTTAAATACAAATTTTACTTTTTTACTCTTTATTTATTTACCACTTTTAATCTCTACCTTACTATAAAGAATAAATTAATCAATTCATAACAGAAAAATAATTACCAAAATAATTATACAAATATACTTTAAAACAATAAAAATTAGACAAAGGTAGTATTAGAAGTCTCACCAAGTCTATTACACTTTCAGGATCTCCCATGAAGCATTTCATTTTGCCCTTCCCATACCCAACCACAAAGCTGTCGATATTTCTGAATATATATATATATATATATTTGTACATTAGATATTATTATTATTATTATTAGGCAAATTAAAATTGTACAAAATCCACTTGTGATTTCACTAAATTGCGCCAACTCTCCCATATTTTCAAAATTGCGTCAATTTTTTTCATAGTTTTACAAACTCTGCGTCTAACTCTTTAGCCATCCTTATTAAACCGGGTTTAACATGTACGCGTCCAAACTGCGAATAAATTTCAAAATATTCATTTCGAAATCTTTAAAATTACAAATATACTAATTATTTTTAGATTTAACTTAAAAAACAACAAATCTACTCAAAAATAATTATTTTTCTCTAGTTATAAGAGTTTTTTTTTATTATTATTTTTTTAGGTTAAATATAAAAAATAATGAATATATTTGTAATTTTAGGGGTGTAAAAATGAAATTTTTAAAATTCATTCATAGTTTGAGCGCGTATAGTAAATACGGTCAAGAGAATTAGAAACAAAATTTATGAAACAATAAAAAATTGACGCAATTTTATGAAACCTGAATTTTGTGAAATTTAGTTTATTATTATTGTTGTTGTTATTGTTGTTAGGAATGATTGATCGAGTAGAGTGAGAGAGTACCTTACGCCTTGAAGCCAACCAGGGAATGGGTCCTTAAAGGTGCTTGTAATGATAGTTGGCCTTAGGATGACAACACGGCCGTGTTGATGATCAGACAAGAGCATCTCTCCCATTGCCTTTGAGAAAGAATAAGTGTTGGGCCAGCCGTATAGGGCAGCTCTTTTTTGCCCCAAAGCTTTCATTACAGTCTCCTCGTCGTCTTCCTCATGATGATTTCTTTTCTGAAGCTTTTTTAGGGTTTCCTCGACAATGAGCTTTTCCTTCTCAATGTCCAAATCACTTCTGCCATTAAGACTCTCCCCCAGCTTCAATGGCTTCTCCACAATTATTCCTTCTTTCTCCCCACACACATATGCTGTACTTGCACTTGCACTACCACTCAATTAATTTTCCATTCAATTTATATATATACATATATATATATAATCTTAATTAAAATATTTAAAATTATTTTTTTTTGAAAAAATAAAAATAAAAATTGAAACTTATAACATCGATTATATTTATAAATATTAGAAACAATACTTGACGAAAATATATACATAATAGAAATTGCATTTTGTTTTCTTAGAGGATGTTGGATTTTTTCTTTTTTTTTAAAAAAAAAAAAGAAAAAGAAAAAAACGAAGAAAATAGTACAAAGTTTTGATACAATATTTTACGAGAAAAAATAATTATTTGATCATTTGATGTAATGTTCTATTATTTTAAAAAAAATGCGGTAGAGAAATAGTATAAAAAATAAATTGAAAAGTTATGTAAATGGAGCCAATGTTTTGTTTTACTTGTATTTTTTATTATTCAATTTCTCAATTTTACTTTAACAATATTATATTTGAAACAATTAATATATTTAATCACTATCTTACATTAAAAAAAAAAAAGTAATATATATATATATATTTATATAGTATAAAAATAAAATAAAATAAAATAAAAGAGAAACAAGTAAATAAAGATAGAGAAAACTGACCAGTTGATACATGGAGAAACACTTTGAGTTTAGTGCATTTTTCTGAGAATTTAAAAACATTTGCAGCTCCAATTGTATTGATTCCAAGGGCAACATCGTATCTGTGATTTACATTTTTTATTTAAAAAATAATATATATATATATAGGAAAATTTGATATATATATATATATATTTTATGTGAAGTATGAGAAATTGCGTAGGTAATATAAAAATAAAGAGCGTGTAATATATAATATTTTTTGAAAAATATGTTGACTTTTTTTCGTTAAAAGAACAAAGCCGAAAATTAAAAATGAATTCTACTTTGAAAATTTTGAAAAGTATTTGAGTCGAAAAAAGTTGGGAACGTAGTGTAGATGATTTTTTTAAGATTTTATTTCTGATTTTTATTTGAACAGTAATTCAGATATAATATTTTTTTAGAGTAAATAACATATATTTATAAAAAAATTAATTGAATGATAAAACAATAATAAAAAAAAAAGTGTTATATATATATATATATATACCGAACCTCTCGTCGAAATTGGTGGTGGCGGCCAAATTGATGACAATGTCGAGCTGCTCGAAAAGTTCGTCCAAAACAAAGGATGGTAAGCCGAGGCCATCGCCATTTCTTACATCGCCGGCGATCACCCGAATTTTTTCGGCTAAAATTGAATCCAATTCATTTCCATATTTTTCTTTTACTACGCGAAACAATTCTGCTCCCAATACCTTCATAAAAATTCAGTTTATTATTTTCAATTTTTTTCATAATTATATATATATATATATAAATGAATTGTTACAAAATTTAGTTATGTATTTACTATATATATAAATAAAATGTGACATTAAAGTAAAAAGGGGTTATGAATACGACAGAAGGGTCTCGTGGGTCAGTTCAATAATTTTGTCCCTTAGCTTCTATACATAGCATGCATTGTCCATTTATTATTACACATTACATATGTTAAATTTTATTTATTGAAATTATAATTTGGCTGAATATTGATATGATACTATTAAAAAATTGTTGCATGTGAATTAAAAAGTAACTCTAAAATATATGAAAATAAAATAATCTACTTTTTTGGTACTTTATATTATTTTATTTTTATCATTTACTTATTTACTATTTTAGGAATAAAAAAAAAATTTAATCTCATTTTTGTAGCTATTATTGTCTTGCATATGCACTTTCTAATCTTTCTCTTACACTCTTTTAAGATACACTTTTCATACTATTTAAAAAATAAAAAATATTCTTCTCTGTCGTTCAAATCTATGCTCACTTTTCTTTTTGGGTTGTCATCGAAAATTATTCTCGTTTCCCTTTTAAGCAAAAGATTATTACATTTTTGTATTTTTTCTACTATAAAAAAATTAATAATTATTACTCACTTTTATTAATTCTCGTGTCTGGTCAAATGAACACAGATTTGCATAACGGAGGGAGTATATTATATTTAAAATGTTATATACGAATTTATATTCGTTTCAGTTAAAACAATGCATTTATATCTATTTATATGACATTAGATTATTTCCTATTTAATTTACTATAATTTTTAAATCATCAAGTGTTTCTTTTGGAGTTCAATCTTTTCTTTTCTTTTTATACAATATTTTATTAGAAAAAATAGTATATATATATATATATATTTAAATAATTGTGATTGTTATATAGTAAAAAATTAAAATCAAATTTTAAAAGAAGAAAATATTTAGAGTTGTTCTCTTTAAACTTTTCCCCTCAATGTTTTTATTATGTAAATGGTGTGCTTGGTAGATGTGTTTAATGTGATATTAATTTCAATAAATATTATTTTTTTTTTGGTGTAAAATAAAAAAGAAAGTATTTAAATTGATTTTTTTATGAGAAACATACAAATTAAATAAACAAATTAACTTTATGATTTCCCTATAAAAAGAAATATTTTTTCTTACAAAAATGATGTTAGAATATTACTTAAACTAAGTTATTGAATCAAAACACAAAATCAAACTCAAACTACGTTATTTGAATGTTAATTAGATTGTTTGCTGCTAATTTAGAAATATAAACAGAAAAAAGAACTAGAGGGAGAGAAGCTAACAATGGTTAATAAAAATAATAACTATAAAAATATATATATTATATTTGTAACGAAATTTCGTCCATAAAATTCATGTTTAATTTTATCCCTTATTCTATTTTTAAAGTTATTAATAACAAAAAAAAAAAAAATGAACTCAAAGAACAAAAAATTTTGTACAAAAGTGTTTTTTTTTTCTTCGGTGTAATAACAATAACAATAATAATAATAATAAAAAATAAAATAAAATAGATACATATAGTCATATACATATATATACCTCAGTGTTGAATCGATGGAGGGCTGAGATGGAATCAGCAGCTCTGAGGAGAAGATAAAGCTTCTTCACATTGGGCCCTGCGACTCTTATGATCTTCTCTATCAACACTGTATGTACACAGATTCATTATAATATACACTCATATATATATATATAGAGAGAGAGAGAGAGAGGAGAGAGAGAGAGAGACCCTTTGCAAGAAAGCCAGTAGCACCAGTGATAAGAATGCTTTTGTTGTGAAGGAACTCAATAATGGAAGAAGATGAAGATGCAGAAGAAGAAGAAGATGATGATGATGAAGAAGAAGATGAAGAAGCCATTCCAATTCCAATTTGCAATGCTTCCATTCACTTAATATATATTATGAAAAATGGACTTTAACCGACAATCATATGATATATATATATATATATTTTTTATGGGTTTGAGTTTAATATTTCATCCATCCCATAATTAAATATCCATTTATTTTTTCACATAATTTTAAAAATATTAATATTATATTAAAATATAGTATGAATAAAGTAAAAATAACTAAAATAACTTTATTAGTACGTGTAATATAAAAGTAATGACATTTGTGTAATATATTGTAAGTTGTAAAGGTATCTGTAATGTTAAGTAGATAGTACAACTACTAAAAAAGAATATGAATACTTTGTTATTGGACGGACTAAAATGAAAAAAATGATACTTTGTTATAAAACGGATGGAGTATAATAATAATGTAGAATAGAATATTTTGTAAGAATAAACTCTCTCCGTCCCAAAATTACAATATTATTATGTTGGACACGAAATTTAAAAAATATTGATATTATATTGATAGTTGGTAAAAAGTATGATAAATGACTTTTTTGCCCTTGTGAGTATATTAGTGTAAAAAGTAATGGCAATTGTGTAATAATAATGAAAAAAAATATAGATAGTTTTAATTATAGTGATATGATTATTTATGAAAATGAGACTATTGTTTTGGGACGGACAAAAATAGTAAATAAGACTATTGTATTGGGACGGAGGGAGTATATATATACTATTTTCGTTTACTTTGACATTTATTTTTTGCATCTTGATCTTTAAATATTAATTATTATATCTAAACGTGGTACAAATAAAGAGAAAATGACAAAAATACTTCTATTAGTGTCTTATATTACAAATATAATGATATTTATATAAATATATATATAAATCTAAGAATATTTTTAATATTAAGTATAATAACGCAAAAATTAAATATAAACTTATTAAATTGATGAAAAAAGTATTACCTCCATTGAAGAGTAACATTTACTTTTTTTCAAATAGATTTTTTAATATTAGTATTATATTGGTTTATAGTAAAAATGATAAAAATACCTCTACTACATTTGTGTAATATTTTGAAAGTTGTAAATGTATTAATTATGTTAGGTAGATAGTACAATTACTTAAATAAGAAAATGATATCCTTATTTTGGGATTTAAAAAAATGAAAAATTGTATCCGTTCATGTGAGACTGAAAAAAATTCAGAATTCAAATAGTAGAACAGGAGCCATGAGGTTTGATGACAAAAGAAACAAATCCATAATAAGTAAAGTTTGTAAAGTTGCGTTCTTTTGTGAGTTTTAGTAGAAATTTTTACTATTCATATAATTTTTTTTCATAAAAACATATCAAATCAAACAATTACTTTTCTTTTGTTATATTATACTACAAATTTAATTTACATTCAAAATATCACATCAACCTCTATTTATACCACACATCAAACAACTATTTAAAAATTCAAACCCACAAACAAACTACTCATCCCGCCTCAATATAATAGTCTTTGTTTACTATTTTTTTTCCGTCCCAAAACAATAGTCTCATTTCCATAAATAATCATATCATCATAAAACTATCTCTAATTTTTCATTATTATTACACAATTGTCACTGCTTTTTACATTAATACATTCACAAGAGCAAAAAAATCTTTTACCCATATTTTTTTCATACTACTAATATAATATCAATATTTCTTTAATCTCGTGTCAAATATAACCAAACTATAGTAATACGACATAGTGACTATTTAAAAGGAAATTTTGGAACTGTGCAGGTGCAGCGTAAGGTCTATTTGGTAATGTGATTTGGGTGGTGGACCCCATTGAGGCTGACCCCACATCAGATATTAAATAATAATAATAATAATAATAATAAAAACAAAAAATCTGAAAAATTTTATGGCCGCGGTGTTGCACCGCATTCAGCTGCAGCACCTTAATTTGGGAATGTTTGACATGTGTACATCTTTTGGCATCTGTTCCAATTAAAATACAACAATCGGCAAAAGAATTTTATATTTTATTTTATTTTATTTATTTTGTTAGTTTTTTTTTTTTTTTTTCATGTATTTTATTTTAATTATATACTATCTCCTCGAATTCCATTTATTTTTTACTTATTGATATTTTAATATTAATTATTATATAAAAATATATTATTTTATCCGTTTCAATACAATAATTTTATTTATCATTTTTTTCCGTACTAAAATAATAATCTCATTTTCATAAATAATTATATTATCATAAAACTAGCAATATTTTTTCATTATTATTATACAGTTTTTACTACTTTTTACACTAATATACTTACAAGAGCAAAAAAAAATTATTTATCTATACTTTTTACCAACCACCAATATAATATCAATTTTTTTAAATCTCATGTCCAACACAATAATACTGTAATTTTGGGACGGATGGGGTATAAATTAAGAAAAAGAATAAAAATATTTGTTTTAGTGTTTTATAATACTACTAGAAGAATATTTGTACAAAAATTATACATAATATTTTTAATATTAAATACAATGACGCAAAAAGTAAATGAGACCCTTAAAATTGGACCGAGAGAATATATTTATTATATTTTTATATTTTATAAAAAAAATTATAAAATGATACAAATAAGAAATATATTCTACTCCATCCGTTTTGGGTAAAAGACTATTTTGCCCTTGTGAGTCTTTTATAAAAAATAGTAATACTTGTGTAATAATAATGAAAAAAGCAAGAGTATTTTTATAGCGATTTGATTATTTGTAAAAACAAGACTATTATTTTATGACAGACAAAAATAGTAAATAAGCGTATTAAATTGGAACAAATGGAGTATTAATTTGTAGTTTATTATTGTTATTATTATTATTATTATTATATATATATATATTTTCGTATTTATGACATTATTGTTAGAAAATACTCACGAGTCTCGAGACAAATACACAACAGTGTTTGAACACGATTGTTGAATGCACTCTTGTGTTTTTCTTGTTGCACTCATAGATATTATATTCCTCGGGTTATCGTGTATTATTATGATATTTTTATAAAAATAAAATAATATTTTTTTTATAAAATATTATATTTAAATATTATTTATATAGTAAGTAAAAAAAAAAAAAAAACTCCAAAACAACTGTCCATGAACTTTTCTTTTTTTTTTTTTTTTTCTATGAAAAACAAATGATTACATATTTAAGTTATACTGATTTACATTTATCTTTCCGTTTAATTTTTATACAGAGTTTTAAAAATATTAGTATTATATTGGAATATAATATAGGTAAAAGTAGAAAAACTAAACTAATTTTTATTAGTATTCTATAATATAAAGGTAATAACATATATTTGTAATATAAATGTATTATATTGTAATATAAATAAAAAGATTATTTGTAATATTAGATAAATATTACAGTTATGAGAGAGACTTTATTTTCACTATACATTTACATTAAATCTTAAAAATAATTAAATAAATATTACATCATATATTAACTTTTTATTTTGATATATTATATAGTACTATAAATTATACTGCATCCGTCCAGTTAGAAAGTATACATATTTCTATTTTGGGACGTTTAATTACAAAGTAACCATTTTATTAAATACCCCATTTTTTCCACAAATACCCCTACTTTACATCACATAGTTACTTTTATACCAAAAAAAGTAAGGGCAAAATTATTATTTTATTACTTTTACCTACCCACTATAATTAAAATACTATTATCCCTTAATCTCCGCGCCAAAAATAATTGTATATTTTTAGCTTGGACTGAAGGAATATTTTTCATTTAAAATATTACACTAGCTAACTGTTTACTATCACAATTCACATCAAACAAATTTATAATTCAAAACTACCATAAAATAATAATAATAATAATAATATCCATTACATCAAATATTTAATTTTATTAAAAAAATTAGTTTTAACAATTATTTAAACAAAAACACTAATATGAACACTAATATATACGGATTGAAACACACAATATCACAATGATTAACCCCAGGGTGAACATTGGTCAGTTTAAACTGAAAAAAAAAAAAATTTTTTATTAAGAAGGTTCGAATTGATCTAAAATCGAATTTATAAATTTTAATTTTGATTTAATTATGATTTTCAATTTTTAATTTTTGTGAACCTAAAAAGCCGAAAGTTTTAAAAATAATGAAAACTTATACATTAATAAATAATACATCTTATAATATCGAATATTTGTATTTAATTGTATATGTAAAATATATATTAATAAACAAAATTCGATTCCTTTGGTTTTGGTTATGTTGATTTGATTTTAAAAAACTTTAATTCGATTTCGATATCAGTTTTATAAATCGAAAACTTATCAAAATTGAAAGTTCGATTCGATTCGAACCGAATCGACCGCAATGCACACCTCTAATTAACCCTAATTCAGCACCCTAACCATTCTCGACAGATACATCAAGACAACAAACAAATAAACAAGAAATCAATGCTTTACAAGCCTACTTAGGAGAGAGAGAGATCCAAAGCTTCAATTATACATCAACAAGAGCAAGGCTGCCTTCGTATTTATACAAGACACAAACAAACTACAAAGAAGACTACAGACAAGTATCCTCTAAAAAAGCCCCGAATCCCGACTCACAAAACACCTCGTTACGCATCCGAATCCGAATTCGCGCCTTTTCTAGGAACACAACAAACAAACAAACACATCGATCAATCACACTAGTAACACTCAAAGATCCTAACTATGCAACTAAGAACTACGAACAATTATCATGTTATAAGTTTTTCCGTCCAAATGCAAAAAGGATATATCAGCAACATACAGTTAGGATCAGATCAAATATCTTTTTCTTTCAACTGATCTGTGGCAAGAGGTTCAAAATTCATTTGCCTGGAGGCGCGATCTGCTTCGGATACCACTGGTTTTACGGCTGAATCAAGATTAGGTTTATCGACTGCAGAATGATTTTTGTTCATTTTGTCAGTGACAGGCGACGGATTCTTAGGATTACTGCTAGTTTCAGTAGGCTCGTATTCTGACAGAAGATCCATGAACTCGTTCAGGAGCCGTTGCACTTTCCTGTTTGACGCCATTGCCGGAAGAATGTCTTCTCTAAGAAGCTTATGCTTACTCATACCCTGTCAAAGTCAAAAATTATTTTTGCGACCATATAGAAAATAAAATTTTCATCAGTAATAAATTGAGTTTAGTAATTACAAGTACTATAGGGTCCCATGCCGCGGTTTTTGGGTCTGATCCGGATTCAACCATGCCAACGGGAGGTCCTAGAAAGTTCTCGCACACTTCCTGTAATCGGGCTTCATCCGCCTCCCTACAATTTATATTTACATATTCAATTCATTTAAAAATGATGAAGTGCTTCGCAACATTGACTGATAAATTATCCATTGGGATATTGTCGAATCAACAAGAATCAAGAGACTAATTTTATATGGACATAATAATATAGGGTGTGTTTACTTGTGGGATTTTATTTTCAGTTTTACAATTCTAATTCTTTTTCTCCTTAAAAAACATCAAATCAAACACCTATATTTTATTTATTATATTACACTAAAATTAAATTTTACATTCAAACCATCGCATATGTATATCACATCAAATAATTATTTTAATTTAAAATTTTACTATTCAAAACCAAAATCCAAACTATAATCTTACAAATAAACACACCAATGGTAGGAAGTGCCGTGTGGTTAAGTAAAGTGTATACAGAAACATATAAATGCTTTTAGGGTGTGTTCTCTTATCAAACTTCACCTAATTTTTACAATTTATCAAAAAAAATTTCCCCAAAAATATTAAATCAAACCTCTGCTTTCTATTTTTAATATTATAATAAAAATCAATTTTACATTCAAAATATCACGTCAACACTTATTTATATCACATCATACAATTGTTCCAATTCAAAAATTTTACTATTCAAATTCCAAACCAAAATCCAAACCCCAAAACAAACACACCCTTTACAGGTAACAAGAATCGACTTTAAAGCACATGTTAAGGGCTCGATAGAGTGGATCAAACCTTGCAAGAAACCGAACATAGGATAAAAGACATTGGCGATATTCATTTGGGGAATTCAAAGCCAGTGCAGACGCCATCTGGGCTTCCAAATGAGCACGGGTCTGCAAACCGTCATCGGTTACTCTGCGCACATAAATAAAAGTTCAAGAATGTATTACGAGTAAATCATGATAAAGATAAAGAGCAAATTATGCGGCTAATGTTGGTAAAATTAATCAAAAAGATTCAATTGAATACAATTTAAAATGTAAGTGATATATCATTTGTGCAAGAACTTTTATGTAAGACCAAAATTGCTCGAAACCTTCTATATAAAGCAATATCAGACATTTTTATCATCATAAACGCATACGAACCTGCTCCACCCTGGTTTCCGCGCCAGATATTTTCTGACATCAACTTGCAGTGCCGCAAGCTCCCCACCATGGGTCGAACCCAAGGTCCAAGAGCTAGCGAAATTTGACGCTGGAAAACAGTCGTCTGCCACTCTCAGCCAACACATAAGACTTGTGTCAAAGAGATAGGCATGTCGTGTAGCCAATACAACGAGAGGTGAACCAGCTTTTGATAATTTTGCAGATATTACTTTGATTGCGCCTGTGAAAATAGCAGGGATTCGAAAAGATTAAAAACAATAATGTAACCGAATTGAAATTTGGAAAGTTGGGGTTTTTTTTTTTATACGGCTACGAAATAAATAAACTGAATTAGTAGATTCCAACTACCTTTTGCATGTGGCTTCGAGTCGGTAGTTACTAGCGAAGCCAAAGAATCATGAAGCAGACATTTTTTGCTGTAAAGATCCCAAACATAGACTGATCCATTTCTTGTGACAAGTAACAATTTCCAAAGTTCATCACAATCGATAAATACTGCTGCTGATCCCATCATCATGGTTGGCATGGCACGTCTCCCGCATCTTGTATAAACCTTTTTAGTGATAATATTTACAATCAATAGATGGAAATGTTAAAAACAGCCAACGTGTTATGACATTTGAAATTTACAACCAAACCATAGTTGTTTTCCAGAGGCGAAACAATATATGTATATGATATAAAATTAATCTAAAAAAACATGTTATTGATTATCTATATGCATTTGAAATACTTCATTTCGAAAAAGGGAAAACACAAGAAATTTGTTAATGTTCGTGTAAAGTTTCAATAAATTCCAATCTTCGATGAAAGTTTGGTGGCAGTTCTGCAAAATTTCAATAATATATAGTGAATTTCATTTATAATGTAAGATAAAAACATAAACAAAATAGCAGTGCAGAATTTATTTAAGGCAAAATTATCCGTAACTCCCCACTAGTTTCGAAACTCAGCATAAATCTTTCTGTATTTTAAAAATTGTATTACGCCCTCTTATACTTTTAAAAAATGTTGCATGAAATCCCTGCCATGCAAAAAATGTAGATGAAAAGTTATTTTCTCATCACACAAAAAATATTAAAAGGAATTTCTTGCAACATGTATAAGTTGGTATCATGCAATAGTACAGAAGCTGAGTTTCAAAGAGGAGTTATGGAAAATTTTACCTTTTTAAAAAAAAAAATCAATTAATGTCATACTAACCTGAAGTGATCCATCCTCACAACCAACAGCCCAAAAATTCGAATTCCCAGCCAAGACAGTCACCTTGCCAGAGATCCTATCAAACCATAGAGTCTGCGACCCTTTGGTGCAAGACACTTCCGTTTCTTTAATTGTAAAAGTATTCCCTGCTCCTACAATGTCACTAACAGCATGCTCTCGAGGACGAGCTTCCAAGCAGATAGGCATTGCATCTTCCCCGTGCTTCTTATCAAAAACTTTAATCGAAAGAGAACTAGCAGTAGCAGGCAGACCAATCTGCTCGACATTATTTATTACTTCTTTGCTTTCACTTGACGAAACCTTCTCAATGACCAAGCTCTCACTAACAGTTGCTCTTGCAGTGCCGCTCGACCGCTCTTTCAGATCAGCAGAACCACCTACAGGTTTCATCATCGTCCCTGCCCCACTGTCATTCTTGTTTTCTTCCGAGGATCTTAATAACATGTCAGATCGATCAGAAATAGTTCTTTCCTGATGTACAGTCGCCCCAACAGCTTCTGGTATTATCCTCTTTCTACCATCCGGCCGTCTATATTCTTTTTGCTTTACAGGGCTTGACATCCGAGCAGGGGCGGGAACTTTATTGATGCTATCACCGGTCGGATCTTGGGGTTTCTTTCCAGCATCGGTAATAGTTTTAGGAACTTTTCTTGGAGCCACTAAAGCGGCAGAGGATTTTAGCAACGTTTGATTCTCTGAGGCTACTGCCTTTTTATGCGGAGTTTGTTTTGCAGATGCGGCTTCAAGCAACAGCTGTGCTGGACTCTCGGCTAAGGTTCCCTGGCGACTTCTTACATCCCCATAGCGACTTTTTTTCAGATCGTCTAGTTCAGCATCAGTTAACTTCTGCCCAATTTCATTCACATCAAAGTGAAATGTTGCTGTTGATCCATCCAAAGAGCAAGCAAATAATGAATACCCATCTGGACTCCTGCAATCAGCCAAATTTTGACGACTTAGTAAATATACACAGGCGATTAAGTTGAAAAAAAAAAAAAACAAGAATATTATTACCAAGTTAGATCCACGACACTTTGAGAAAAGAAATGTTTAGCCACAAAAAGAGGACGAGGGCTCGCTGTAGTCCATACAGTTATGGTCCGGTCCTGACTTCCTATGGCAATGACATTATATGCTTGTAAATCTTTTCCTTCAGTTTTTGACGAACCATTGCTCCAACCAACAGACACATTTTTTGAGTCCTGGGAATTGGACAAATTCTTCCTGAACATCGAATGATTGAACTTAACAACAATAACCGGCGCATTGTGCCCCAAAAAGTCAAATGTCGCAGACCACTCCCCTCTCTCAAGAACGGGTGCAGAATGCCTAGGCTTTTGGAAACCATGAGTTGTCGTTATAAAATGGCCACAAGGCGACCAGTCAAGCCGCCTAAAGAAAGTGGAGCCAAGCTGAAAATACAAAATTTCAAATTAAGACGTAAGCAAAAACATGAAAAAAAATCCGAAAAACTGGAAAATTGTTAACTCACCGATTTAGCCCAGTGACCATCAGTTCTGTGAATGAGACTCCAATCACTTGTCCGCCAAATTATAACGGTCTTGTCATCGGATTGACTAGCTATAAAGGAACCAATTGGATCCCACGCGACACCCTTGACCAGACTGGCGTGTCCCCGGAGAATAGCAGTGCAAATTCCATTAGTCATGTCCCAAACATGAATCGTATTATCAAGACTTCCACTGGCTAATGCTGAATCATCCGGAGACCAATTAAGATCCACCTACTTTAAGCATAGAGAAAAGTAATTCTTTGATTAGAGCATGAGTTAATAAATTCACATAAGACAACGTAAACTAAACATTATTTGTAATTCATATTTATCTATGAGGATCTGCAGTTACCACATCAGCAGTATGCCCTCTCAACGTCATAGCAACTTTCCAATTCTCGACATCTGGTGGCTCACCACTACCAAACTCTGTTGTGCCGGAACCGGGCTTTCTCTCATGAATAAGAATAACTTGATCATCTGATCCAGATGCAATGTATCGACCATGTTTAGCCCACCTCACACAGTTAACAGACCCAAAATGATCCCGTAATGTTGCGAGAAGTTTCGCTGTTGTTTCGTCAGATGGAAGTTCCCTTGCAACACATTTCATATTCCAAATGCGCACCTGGACGGATAACAAAAACTATGTAGTTACTTGACGAAAAGGAAAACTCTATAGGATCTTCTAAAGTGACATATATGATGATTTGCATCTATTACATAGCAGCTATAGATACAAATCCACTGTGTGAAATGGCATTTTCAGAATCCTTTCAACGAATTTGATGAAAAGAATCGGCAGCGTTCAATCAAAAAAGAGGCACAAAAAATCCATACAACAACACGCGGAGGACCAAGCGACATGTTTTCAGCATGTCAGAATCCCAAATCACAATGCATGATTACGTTAGAGCAACGAATAGATTCAATCAAATAAAGTCAAACCCATTATATGCGAACATGGCTCGATTTGGTTGCAAAAAAAATGTGATACCAATACACATCCGAAGGTGATCAATATAAAGTTATAGATCCCTTATGGCTAATGTCAGTGACAGCAGCATGACCCATTACATCTGTGTATCATAACAAATTTAGGAATTAGGGTTTTATGTAGGTCAATTTCACAGTTTCCACAACGATCGGATGCTTAGTTCATTGGTTGAAGAAAAAGAAAGAAATCTATTTCCCACATCATGTTGTCAAAAGGAACAAACAGCATTGGCTGGGTAGGGTAGCTTACCAATCATTTTGATTTCATTATATAAACAAATAACAGTCGAAGAACACCCCTAGTTTTCATAGGGTATTAAAATATCTATGTTTATTAATCAAAATTTCTACTATCACTACATGCAAAGTCTCCGAACAAGAAAGAAGCAAAAGGGACTTTCCAAGAAACAACTGGATCTTGCTCATGTTTTAAGATAAATTTAAAGACCATATCAAAACATCAGTTTCGGCCTTCGCCAACACAGTCAGGCATGATTCTTGAAAGAGGAGTGCAGCAATTACCAGGACATGATCCATAAAAGAGAAGTTGAAATGTTTATCTTATATGTATAGAATCAGACATGCCCCATCAGTCATTCTATAATATTTTACTCGGAAACAATACACCTTATCATTTGCCACAAGCCCGCAACTACACTGACTCACTTTTATTGTCCCCAAGCCATTATCAGTTTATTACATTATAAACAATACACCACCAACTAAATCTTGCCTTGTAAATTACAAATTTACAACCAACAAGAATCCCCATATAACCATGAAGTGCACCTCAACTCATGACATGAATTACGAAATTCGACAACATAAATAACCTCTAGGTACCCAATATATCAATAAATTCCTCAAGAAAACACATTACAATTCTCAAGAAGAAGCTGCATACACAGCAATTAAGCTTTCCCAGAAAGTAAAACCAAAATGTGCATTCCTTAAACCAAAATGTGAATCCCATCTAACCATGAAGTGCACCTCAACTCATTACATGAATTAAGAAATTTGACAACATAAATAAGCTCTAGGTACCAATTTATCAATAAATTCTTCAAGAAAACAGATTTCAATTCTCAAGAAGAAGATGCAAACACAGAAATCAAACCTTCCCATAAAGTAAAACTAAAATGTGCATTCCTCCAGACACCAAATGAATGATTTCCAGAGTAGACATATACATAACTACAAAAGCTATCAAGAAATTCTAAAGCAAAAGAATCGAATTAGAAATGAAAAAAAAAAAACAAGAAAAGAATACCTTATGGTCGCCACCGCCAGTGGCAAACCTGAGGCCACCAGGCTGAATATCAATGGAGAAAATCTGTGTACCCTCATGCCTAACCCAACTAGGTTTCTCTGCAATCATCTTCCTCAGTCGCGACCTAAATCCCAGAAAACTACAATTAACCAAGAACAAAAAACAGAATACAACAGCCCCCTTACACTAAATCCCAAAAAACCTAAACTCAATTTCCAGCAAGACCGAAAATTCCTGAAAAATTCAATTAATACCCAGAACGCAAATCCAAGAAATCAAACCCACGTCGAAATTAGTAGGAATTGGCAGAAATCGCAATTGGGTAAATTTCAAAATGATTTGGAACTCGTCGGCACGGTAAAAAAAAATTGCAAAATGAAATGAAAGAAGTCGAGAAAAAGCTCCTAGTAATTAAAAATTCAAGAAATTGATAGAAAAACAATTTGAAAACCCCAGCCCTACCAGTGGCTTTAGTGAGACAGACAGAGGTAGAATTTTGGGCGAGCAGCGAAGACAAAAAAAAACCCTAGGGCGAGCTCATGTCGGTAAATTTTGGATTTTTTGTTTTCGGAATAAAATCAAGAAAGAGAAATTATTGCAAAAGCAAATCTGGATCAGTAAAATAAAAAAATCGGTTCTTTTTATGTACATTTGTTTCATCAACGGTCAAATTCAAAGGGAAGATTGAAACTGATGCAAAGATAAGGCAAGTGAGGATTATCGAACAAAATTGTACATTGTTGCTTCATTTTGACAAAAGATTTTTGAAAACTTTAAAATTTTTAATATATAAAAAATAAATAATTAATTTAATATATATTAATTGCTATTTATTTGAAATTTTGAATAGCAGCAAAGTTTTTAAAATTATTATAATAGTAGTATTAGAAAACATTTTCATAAAATATATATATTCCCTCACTCCTAATACACTAGTTATGTTTATCATTTTTGTCTATAGACTTGAAAGGACAAAAAAGTCTTTTACATGTATTTTTTACTCATTACCAATATAATATCAATATTTTTTAAATCACGTGTTAAACACAATTAGACTATAATTTTGAGACAGGAGAAATATATTAATTGCTATATATTTGAAAATTTGAATACCAACAAAAATTCTAAAACTATTATAATAGTATTAGAAAACATCTATAGAATGTGATTAATAATAACAATTCAAAATAATTTTGGGTAAAGCTTTTAAAAGTGCATTGTTGTTAGTTATTAACTGATTTCATTAGTTGATTATATTAATTATTTATATTAAAATATTTGATAAAATATCCGTTCAAATGTTAATTGTTTATATATGAAATGACAATTAAAATATTTGAATTTTTTTTTATTAATTAGTCATAAGTCTATTCCATATCATTTGATCATCTTTCACTTTTTAAAATGAAATTTTTTATAATATAAATAAATAAAAATATATTTATTTATTTATTATTATTATTTTTATAAATTAATTTTATAAACAAAATAAAAAATTTTAAATATAGACAAAAAGATTTCTTGATTTAAAAAATATATAAATAATAAAATTTTGAGTGAATCCTGCCGACCAAAAAATTATAAATTTAATTAAAATTTATATTTATTAAATATATTTCAAACTTATAAATTAATAAAAATAGAAAATAATTTAATTTTTGTGAAATTAATTAAAAGAAAATTATTTGTCTTTAAGATAGAAGAATATTTATTTAATAAATATAAATTTAATTTAATTAGTGCTATGACCACTCCAAAGTCCTCTATATCTTTATCTCTAATGTGCGGTTGTTTTGAGTTGAGATTTGAATATTAAAATTTTTGAATTAGAATAGTGATATGATGTGATATTTTGAATATAAAATTAATTTGTAGTATAATACAAGAAAGAGTAAACTGTTTTTTAGTCTCGTAACTATACCCTTATCATTTTAATCCCGTAAGTGGAGCCTGTCACAGACTAGTATCATAAGTAAAAAATTTTCGTTGTTTCAGTCCTTCAGCGCTAGAGACGCCGCCAGGTCAGCGACACCTGGCTGACAACGTGGATTTTATTTTTTTTTTCATTTTTTAAATTTTTATTAAAAAATTATTTAAATTTATTTTAAATTTTGATTGTCTTTTTCAATTTTTTTATTTGGTAAAATAAAAATGAAAAAATGAAAAAAAAATTAAAATCCACGTGATCTGGCGGGACACCTGGCGGACACGCAGCTTCCGGCGAGCCACCTGCGTCCCGGCGCAGGAGGACTAAATCAACGAAAATTTTCCACTTATGGGACTAGTTTGCGACAAGCTCCATTTACAGGACTAAAAAACAGTTTACCCTATCAAAAATAAAAAATAAGTATTTGATTTAATATTTTTTAGAAAAAAATTTGGTGAATAGTAAAAATTGGGAAAAAAATCCGCCAAACAAACTCACCCCTAGTATACGTCATAAAATTTGTATTTTTTTATGACGTGGAAATTCGCACCCGCTATTCGAAAGTACGCACAGGTAAACCCTCGGCCGAACTTAATACCCTGCAAACTAGGTCCGACAAGGCAAATCACACCCAATCTTAGAATTTAGACACATATATTTGTATGTATTATAGTACTCCATCCATCTGATTCTAAGGTTCTCATTTATTTTTGCGTTATTGTACTTAACATTAAAAATATTCTTATATTGCTATAATTTTTTGCACAAACGTTATTATAATAGTGTTATAAGACACTAAACAAAATATTTTTGTTATTTTCTCATAATTTAGACTATATTTTCATATAATAATTAATATTCAGACATCAACATCCAAAAATAAATGGAATCTTAGAGTCGGATGGATATAGTAGTAAATTTTATTCCAGAGACAAATTCGAGCATCGGCAGTTCTTTTGAAAGAAACTTTAGACCAACCGAGACAGGTATGTGAATTTATGTAATAGCTTCTTTTTTCTTTTTTTTTTTTTTCTTTTTTTTCTTTTTAATTTGATGGAAATTATGTAAAAGCTTTTGTTTCCACAATTGTTTGCTGATGGTGCAATTTTCGTTTTCTTCTTGTTCCAAAGGAGCCAGATGACTCTGATGATTAAATTTTATTTCAATTTTTTTTTTCATATAATTCATACAATTTTTAATAAAATACATCTTTTTTCGTAGAACATTATTTCCAATCCAAAATTTAGTATGTTTCGGATGCTAAATGACTGTTTCACCTAAAAGCTCGAACTGTTAAAAAAACATACTCATTAATCATATATCTGTAAGCTAGAGCTCCCAACACGCTCCCTCAAATGCAAGTGGGGTCTGCGAAATTTGCACATGCATATGCGCACAAACAGGGACAGTGGGACAATATGAAAAAAAAAAAAAAAAAAAAAAAACTATAGTAATAAACATAACCAAAACATAAATCTACAAAATTATAAAATATAGAAACATGTATCTTACTTTTAGGACAAGTAATTATATAACATTCTAAGGTAAAAATAATAATTATATATTGTTGATGCAAATTTTTAACAATAAAAATAAAATTCGAAAATAGGAAATTATCTTCGAATTTGATATAATTAGTGCCTGAGATTAGGAATCTCTGTAGGATACATAAATAAAAAAGGAAAATAAAACTACAGACTTGGAAAATAAAGTGGTGATCCTAAAGGCAATTCTTTTGAATTTGATGTCGATTGAAGATGATTTGTCATAACAGACCCGATTCCTTAAATAAACCCTTAAAAAAACGGTTTGAACCGCCGTCTCATCGGTTACAGCAACTGCTCTCAAACGCCCACCAGGTCTTCCTCTGTTGACACGTGTCTTTAACCGTCTCGCCAACCGCATAACCCAACCGACCAATCCAGAGACTAACTGATCGCTAGATCAAACGAATCATTGGCCGCCCCACCAAGCGACCACCATCTGGTCTCTTATCCGACCTCGTATCGTCCGTCTCATTCTTCTTCGCCCGACCTCACTTGGACCGACCGCCGTACCAGCCGTCCTTCTTCGCCCGACTTCCTCTTTCGACCGACCTCCGTATCAGCCGTCCTCCGTCCGACCTCAGTTGGTCCGACCGAAGGCCAACCGACTATGGACCATCCGACCGGCCCAACCGACTGCGAACCATCCGACAGCGAACCCACCGACCGGCTCTGTTTGCCTTATCTCCTTAGATGGACAACTGGTTCAACAGACTATCCTCTTGACAGACATCCACGTTTGCCAATACTTCTTCTTTACCCGACCTTCGTCTTGACAGACCTCCGCGTCTGCCGATACTTCTTTGCCCGACTTTCGTCTTGACAGACCTTCGCGTCTGCCGATACTTCTGCTTTGCCCGATCTTATCACGTCCGATCTCCGTGCCCGACCTTATCCTGTCCGACCTCCGTGTCTGACCTTGTTACGTCCGATCTTCCGTACCCGACCTTGTCCTGTCCGACCTCCGTATCGGCCGATCGTCCTTCTTTAATATACTGCTACCATTATTATTATTATTTTTTGTGTTCAACATATATATTATCAAAATCATACACTTTCGAGAGGCGCACGCATGAATTCAACCAATTATTTGTTGAATTAATCCATAAATTGAATGATTGATTTTGGTTTTTTTTTTTTCTTTTTTTTCTAATTGATATGGGTTCGTTTAAAATATTAATAACTAATTAGTGTTTGTTAATTGTAAAATAAAAGTCATTTGAGGAAGAAGATTGACAATGCAGTAACTGTTGATAATATATTTTCCATAAAATGTAATAGTTTTGCCTATTATACATACATACATACATATATTTACTTTTTCACATTCAACATCGCACCAGGTTCGATCGATCTTCTTCTCCATCCTGTCTTCTTCATCATTCTCATTCTTCTTTCCTTTCTAAAGCATGGGATCATCTTTGTTCGGATTCGATGACGGTGCATTCAAGTTACAAAAAGTAACAGTACTTCTAATCGTCTTTGCGCCTTCTTTATAATCGCCGTAATTATCAGCTTCTACAGGCGTTGGAGACGCCGTTTCAGGGCCCCAAATCCGCCGGCACCTGCCGTCAATTTTCCGCCGGAGCCGAAAAGAGGACTCGAACTCGCGGAGATCGAAAGTATTCCGGCAATTTTGGGGTTGGGTCGTGCCCATGAAATATACATGTATTAATTCATGAATGAATGAATTTGAGGTTTTCTTCTAATAAATATGAGTTTGTTTAATATATTAATTGTTAATTAGAAATATAAAGCCGTAAAGTAAAAATCATTTGAGAAAGAAGTTTGGCCATGCAAACAACGTAGTCGTTGATATAATTTTTTCATTAAATGTAATAATTTTACCTATAAATAATATATTATATATATATGCACCGGGCAGATTCATAAGCTAGACGAGATGCAGAATTTTGGGATTCTTTAGAAGAAAAACAAATCATGTCGTATCGAAAAATTAAATATATTATATAATAT